ATGAGTATGAGAGCGGTCGGTCGGTGATGTTAATGTTTTTTTTTTTACTTCTTTCTCTCTCTCTCTTCGTTTTCATTTCCACGAATTATTTTCTGGAAAAAAAAATGATAAAAGTTAGTTAATTAAAAAATATACATGCACTTATGTAAACAAATAAATAAGAAAAAAACGTGGCAGAAGAAAAATTTTTTTCTAACGTCGATGAAACGCATAAAAAAAAAAATTTAAATTTATCACTGCAGATTTTTTTTTTTTTTAACAGCCTCACGGACGGTCCATCTTTCAACGTATTCAACGAGAGTGAGTTAAAGAGAGAGAGAGAGAGAAAGAATTAGAGAGAGAAAGAAATTTCGTTTTACCGCATATATATTTTATAGTTTCAATATTTTTACCCTTTTTTTTTTCTTTTAAATGAATAGAAGCAGAAGAAAAAAAAATGGCGTACGTGTTTACAAAGCTTATTTATAATTCGTTACGGATGGAATACAAACGGCTTTTAACAACGACAAAATATTTTCTTTTTTTTTTTTTTCGTACGAAAGATTAAAGGTTTCCGAACTTGAATTTTCTTAAACCTTGAAAACGTTTCCCCCCCTCTTCCTTCCCTTCCCCGCCCACCTCCGACTTCCCACGATGTTCTCCTTTAGGATTTACCCTCTTTCACCTCCATCGACGCCTTTCCTTAATTAGACTAAAACAACTTTGAAAATTTTCTTCTTCTTTTTTTTATATTATCTCGTTCGACCTCCTACCCTCCCCCCGAACATTTTTTTTTATTTAAAAAGTTGAAACAATGTGAAAAAAAAAATTATTTCCTTTGACGAATTTCTTTTTAAAAAAATTTTCCTTTTCCTTTGTCGAATTCGTTAAAAAAAAAATAATAATAATAATTGAAACAAGGGAAAACCGACGACGTGCTTTTAATTTTTTCTTTTTTTCTTTTCTTTTTTTTTGTTTCTTTTTTATTGATTTTAAATTTACAAGAAAAATGAAACCTTTCAACCCTTTTCTGTCCTCCCCCTTTTCCCTCTCTCCACCACCCTATCGCTCTCCCTCTACCCCCTTCCTCCGACAATAACATTTTCCTCCTTTTTACTCCCTTTTTTTTTTTTAAACAAGAAGATTCGGTTCATAATTAATATATTGCCATGAAAAATGTAACTTTTTCCATTAATTAAAAATAAAAAAAAAATTCGATAATAATAATGATGATGATAATAATAATAGGTTGGATTTGCCCCCACGAAAAATCCTCCTCATCTTCTCCTAAATCGCCAAGTTTATTCGTAGTGAAGTAACGACAGAAATAGTTTTTTTTTCTTCACGTTTTTAGTTTAAAACTAAAAAAAAAAAAAAAAATTTTTTTTTTCAAAAGTTGGCAACACTCGTTTATGGTATCATACGTGCGCAAGAATTAAATAGTTAAATGTTATTTTCAAACGCGTATTAAATTAAAAATATAATTTTACGAATTAAAAAATTTTTTTTCCCGCATTCCTTCCTTTTTTTGGTGAGGATTCGTAGGAAAGGAAGTGGGGGGGTAATTTACGAAAAGGTTTTTAATAATAATAATAATAATAATGGGAAAAATATATAAAATGTTAAAAAGTAAAGATTCCAGAGGTGGAAAACATTTTAAAATTTTATAAAATTTGTCTCTTAATAAATATTCAACCCCTTTCATGTTTAAATATTATGTTCTGGTTAATTTCCGTCTTACGTTAATAAAGACCCGCTCTCCCAACCCCTACCTTCTACTCCTCCACTCCCTTACCCCGCCGCGTAAAGTTTATCAATTTTCGTTACCCTCATCACGACGCGCGCGTTATTCAAATTAAGCATTCACTTCTCGCATTTGACGTGTTGTCGCCGACGTAACCCTTTTTTCTTCCTCCACTTCATTTTCTTCTTCCGCCACTTTCATCTCTCTCTCTCTCTCTTTCTCATTCGTTTCGTCACTTTTTTTTTGTACCTTCGTTGAATAAAATAAAAAAAAAAAAAATTTTTTTTTTAATTTTAGTTTCGTTAAATTGACTTATAGAAACGTGTAAAAAGAAAAAGAGGGAGAGAGATAGACTATTTACACGATTAAAAATAGAAAGAGAGATAGGGAGAAAGTGAGAGAGAGAGGAAGAGAGAAATAAATAAATTGTTTTTTAAAACGATGATGAAAATTAGTCCGACAGAGTTTTCAATTTAGTTTTTCATTCTTTCCTTTAAACCCCCCATCCTCCCCTTTCCTCCCCGAGCCATCGAATCCGTTCGTTTCCTTTCAACGTTTAGCAAGGGTAAAAAATTTAAATTAAAATTTTTTTTAATTAACAAATTATATAAAACTTTAAATGTGTTTTTTTACTTCCAGTGCCTCCTCAGACCCCCGCAATAATAGACGATAGAGGTAAAATCCTGCAAAGTGTTACCGGACCATACGAAGAAGGGGACGAAATGAAAATTCTCTGCATCGTGTCTGGAGGTAAGTTATATTTATTATTATTATCCTCTCGCGTGGGAATTGGAAAAAAAAAATTTTTTTTTTTTTTTCAAAGGAGAAGGTGGTAGTGTGGGGGCCGGGCAACTATAGACTTTTATAGTGTTATCAAAATGACTCATTTGGGATCCCCTATAAACTATTAAAAAAAAAAAAACAAACTTTTTACCAGCCATTTTTATTAATTTTTTTTTTTTTTTTTTTTTTGTTTATCGATTTTATTTTTTCAATTACCCCCTTTTTAATAATAATAATAATAATAATAATAATAATAATAATAATAAAGGGGGATGGCATCGAGTTTAAAAAAAAAAAAAACGTTGCCAACGTGTAAATAAATAAAAAAATATCCCTCCTTCTTCTTTTCCCCCAACCTTTTCTTATCCCTTCGTTTTTTCCTTTTTTTAATCCAAGATGGAGGATTTTTTAATAAATAATCCGATCGATCGATTTCCTTAAGGCCCTCAATGATAATAAATAATCGATAACGTCCTTTTCGTAACGGGTTTTTTTTCTATAAGGGTAGTAAAAGGTCGATTTTGATTGGTCGCGGATCCTTGCATAATAATCCCCTTGTTTTAATAAAATATCCAAAACGTTTTGTTTTATCTTTACGTACATAAAATTAACGATTAATAATAATTAAGTGGTAATTAAAAATTATGTATTTATTCAAGTTTTAATAATAACAATAATAATAATGATGATGATTTGAACCGTTAATTAAATTAAAATAATTTCGAGTAATAAAGAAAAATGGAAAAAATTTTTTTTAGTTTTTTTTCCATATCCGGAAATTAAAAGTTTTTCTTAAGTTATTACGTTAAATTGTTTGTTTGTTAGATTATTCTTTTGGAATTTGATGATGACGCCTTTTTCTTTCTCTCCCACCCCCTTCCCCACCTCCCGTTATAATTTATATATTTAAGTGTTTATACGACGTTTGTCGTTGTTTGTTATTATTATTGTTATTATCAAATGATAAAAAGTTAATTATAAAAAGTTTTTTCTTTCGAAACTTTAATTATTAAGTAAAAAAAAAAAAAAAGGTTTTGTCGTGTAACTAGACGACACCACGCGTGCGCACGCACAAACAAACGTATATCAATTTTTAAAAAAAAAGGAAAACTTTTTAAGGACGTTACGTCATATTTTTTTTTTTCTCCAGTCAAATTTGTGTAAATGATAATGATGATGATAATGATGATGATAAATGAAGTTGAAATGATGTCGAGATTTAAAAATTAGTTTGAACGTAAAACGTAAATTCGTTTTTTTTTTTAGTTTTCGTTTGTTTGATTTTGTTTGTTTGTTTGTTTAAAAAAAACGTTTAAATTGTTTATATAAACTTTTATTATAAAATTCAATTAAGTATAAACAATTTTGCATCGGATAAAAACAAAAAAGTTTTTTTTTTTTTTTTTTTTAAATAAATTTAAATAGTTTCGTAGAAAAATTTTATTTTATCATTAAATAAAAAAAAGTCAAAAAAAAAAAAAAGAAAAAAAAGATTTATTTATGTTTCTTAATAATGCATCTGATTTAGTTATTTGCCCTTAAAGGAAAAAAGAAAAAAAAAAAAGTTTCCTTTGCTAGGAAAAGGATTTTCCAGGCAAATGAAAGGTAAATCTAAAGGTAAAAAGGATTTTCTATTCTAAAGACGGGATAAGCCTTTTAATGGACCGGATTTTCTCACAATGGAATGACCAAAAACTTTTCCTTAAATTTGTAACTCCCATCTCCTGGAACCATCCTTTTTTTTTTCCTTTTTTTCCTTTTTCTTTCCTTTTTTCTTTTTTTTTATTGGTTTTCTTTTTTTTTTTTTCTATGGGTCGAATAACGAGACGAATTTTTACAAAACGTTTTTGAAATTTTTTTTTTTTTTAATTTCCTCTTCAGTGGTTATTATTATTATTAAATTTTTTCTTCTCCTCCTCTCCCTCCCCTTCCCCCTTTCCCCGATCTAAAATTATACGATTTGAGTTTCGAGTGTGTTAATAATAATAACACGGCAACGTTATTATTATTATTATTATTTTATTCGTGCTCGCGGATTTAAATTATTCTCAATATAAAATTTATTTTAAGTTAAATTAATTTAATTATTTCATGGTTCCATTGATAAACTTGTAAAAGGAAAATTTTCTCTTCGTTCGATTCGACAAAATGAAAATTTTCATAATTTTGTCACTATTTTTATTTTAGTTGTAAAAAGAAAAAAATCATCATCATCATCATCAAAATCATTATTATTATCATCGTCACTGGAATTTTTAACGATTCCGATCGATTTAACGTCGTGTTAAATTTTATTTTTAATTTTTTTTTTTCCACCGCGTTTTCCGAAAAAAAATGTTTTACTTTTAATTATAAATTTTTTTTTTTGTTAGGTTGGCACTACCGTGATTGTGTTTGTGGTTGTTGATGTTGTCATCGCAAACACGTGTTTTTTTTTTCTTCGTTATAAACAAAAATTACCATTTCCTTTTTACCTTTGCTGAAAATTCAAAAAAAATCCCAAAAAAAATTCAATTTTTCTTTTTTGTTTTTTACCTGTTAGTATTATTATTATCATTATCATTATTATTATTATCAATATCATTATTATTATTATCAATATCATTATTATTATTATCAATATCATTACTATTATTATTATTAAGGGAAAAAAAAAATAATTAAAATCGGTTAATTATTCAAAGAGGAAAACAAGAGAGAAAAAAAATTTTCTCCAGTTGAAAATTTTTTTTTTCCAGCAAAGTTTTCCCAACATTTTTTGACATTTTCACGTCATGATAATAATAATAATGATAATTTTTTGTAGTAAAAATTATAAGGATTTACATCGCAATATTGATTTATATATAAAAAAAAAAATTTCTCCAGAGAAATACGATGAGATGCGGATGATGATGATGATGATAATTTTTTTACCGCATCGGAAATTTTTCATTTTTTTTTTTTTAATGCTTTTCCAGTCGACATTTTGTTTTTTTTTTTTTTAATTTAATTTAATTTAATTAATTAATTAAATTAATTAATGGGGGATATTTTAATTATCCATTCATCCGTTAAAAAAAAAAAATGAAAAATTAAATTTCCAGTTTAATACTTATTATTATTATCGGTCTCTGGACAATATTAATATTAATAATTTACGTCATTTATTTATTTATTTATAACATATACAGGACTCGTTAATCGTTTTTACTCAAAAATTATTTTTATTATTATTGTTATTATGAGGATAAGTTTCCTTTTTTTTTGTTTTTTCCATTTAAAAAAATTTATCAAAGAGTAATAAAAAAAAATGATAATAATAATAATAATAAAGGAAAAGTTATGTTCGATTTGCATGCGTTTTAATATAAAAAAAAAAAAAATTTATTAACAATATTAAATTTAAATTTTTTTTTTTTTAATAATAATAATAAAAATAATAAATATTTCGTTTATTTTATTTTTGAATTGGGACTGAGAAGAGGGGGGGGGTTTAAAAACCGAAACGAGGAAGAATGTATGAGGGAGAGGGGAGGAAGGGGAAGGAAGAAGAAATAAAAAAAAAGACGAAAAATAACATTACGTTATTACGTCATGTTTTTTTTTTTTTTTACGTATACATAACGGAAAATTTGAAAAAAGGGGTAAGGAAACGAGAGGGGAGGAGTGGGGGACGGATGGGGGGCGAGGTTATTGTATATGTAAAACACGAAAGTCAAAAAGAAATTTTTTTACTTTATTTTATTTTTTTATTTTTTTTTTTACTTTATTATTCGAATTAATATCATCGAATGTAAAGATTCAATTAAGATTAAAGTTTTAAAACAATTAAGGTTTTGAAACAACGAAACGTTTAATTTTTTATCTTAACTCACGTGAACTGTTATGAAATGGAGTACGGAAAAAAAAAATAAAATAAAGGGAAAAAGTTCAGGTTCGTGGAAAATTAAAATTTTTCTCCGGCGGATTATTTTTTTTTTTTGCGTTTGTCCAGCAGAAAAAATTGTTTCGTTATCATAAAAACTTTTAAACAAACAAATAAAAAATATCATCGATCGTTTGTTTGCGTTACGAATAAGTAATAATATTAATAATAATAATAATAATGTTTTAATTTTGAATGTGTCAATAGTTTATGTAAATGCAATTATCACTCTCGGAAAACAGGAAATAACTAATAATTAAATATTAATCTTTACGATTTCTGTTGTTGCTGTTGTTCCTGCTGTTATTGTTTGTCTTCTCTCAGAAAGTAATAATAATGATAATAATGATGATAATTAACAAATTCAAATTTTTTTTTTGTTATTTAACAAAAAAAAAAATTTTTCTTTTTTTTTTAAATAAATAATTTATTTTAAAAAAAAAAGGAATTTATCGGAAAAGCTCGTAATTAAAAATTTCCTTTGGCATTTTTTTTTTCCTTTTTTTTCTTCCATTTATAAAATAAATATAATAAAAGAAAGAAAAAAAAAGGAATTAAAAAAAATTTTTTTTTCATTTAACATTTTAATGGTTTTTAATATTTAAACATTTGTTTATTTTATTTTTCCTTTTTTTTCGATTGTATCGGCGAGGGGGAAAAGGGGGTGGGGAGGTGAGGAGGTGAGGCGGGGGGTCGGGAAACGAGGGTAATAGAAAAAACAGAGACAAAAATGGAAGAGAGGAAGGGAGGATGATGGTGGTGGTTGTAAAGTTTTTATTTAAGTTATTTTTCTCCATTCATTCGTATTATCGTTTATTATTCAAATGATAATTTTCTTCTTCTTATTGTTTTTTGTTTCATAACCGAAAGGCAATTTCGTTTGTTTGTTTGTTTGTTTCTTACGAGTGTCAAATTTATTATTATTATTATTTAAATTTTTTTGGGAAATTAAAACAAAAGAAAATTTTTTTTTAATTTTTATTTCACATAATAAACATTTCTTTTTTCTTTTATTTTTCACATGATTTAATTTTTTCTACTGCATTTCAATTCATATCATCATCATCATCATCATCATTATCATCATCATCATCATCATTATTATCACCATCCTTATTATTATTAAAACAAGTAAAAAAAAAAAAGAAAAAAAATTATGAGGAAAATTTAACTTCGTAAATATTGATGACGTCATAACACACACACAAATAATAAAAGCATTATATTTTTTATTTAAAAAAAAGACATTCCGCCATTTTGTTTTTTGTTTTTTTTAATAAATAAAATAAATATTAGTGTATAATAGTTTTAAAAAGCGGTGTGTTTGTGTTGCTTTTTAAATTTTTTTCTTTTCCCCCTCCCCTTTTATTATTATTATTATTATTATATTTTTTTACTTAAACGAAAAAAATTCCGCACCTGATATAAAATAATTTTTTGTAAAAAAAAAAAAAATTACCGTAATAATTATTAAAGTAATATACCAACCGACCTGGAAACGTAATTAAAAAAAAAGGAAATTATTACGGTAATTATTATTATTATTATTATTATTATTTTAAAACGCGGCGTAAATATTATTTTAATTCAATTTAACGTACGTGTGTATGTGTGTGACGTCATCATTAAATTAAACGAGTTTTTTTTTTTTTTTTTTTCGAAAAATTTCTCCAGACTTTTTTAATCTCCAGTTTGACAAATCGGGGAAGGGAGGGGAAGGGTATGGAGGAGAGGAAAGAGGAATGATGATGATGATGATGATGATGATGTTTTTCCGTTTCTGGTTTTTTTTTTTTTGTATTTAAAAAAAATTATCCGCCATTTTTTTTTTTAAGTACATAAAATATTTAATGTGAATTATTCAATTACCTTAATCCATATTTAATCTTCTTTTAAAATCCTTTTAATCCTGTCTTTTCTTTTCTTTTCTTTTTTTTATACGTCACACATTCCATTACGTACTTATGATTATTATTATTATTATTAATATTATTAACTAATAAAATACGATTTGTATATTAATAAATAAATAATTTTGTTAAGAAAATTCAAATAATAATAATAACAGATTTTACTTTTAAAGGAAATAAAGGAAATTAAAAAATTCGTTTGGGGAAGAGGGCGTTTGTTTGTTTCTTCGTTTGTTTCCCTCACTCTCCGAATGTAAATAGCGAAATAAAACAACAGAAAAAGATTTAAAAATTAAAATTTTGTTTTCGAAAAAAAAAAAAAACGTGTTAAAGGAATTAATCGAGAATGAATGAATGAATGAATGAATAAATGTATAAACGAACGTTCACGTCATATTAAACCCTCATTTATTGTAATAATAATTACAAGCAAACAAAGAAAAATTGATTGTTGTTGTTTTTGTTTTACAGGAAAACCGAAACCTCACGTTTGGTGGTGGAAAGGAGAAACATTGATCGATACAACAGATGAACCGAGCGGTTTTTCAAATATCATGAACAATCAACTTGTGGTATCGAGATTGTCTAGATTTGACCTTCATACCGTTTACACATGTCAAGCATCAAATACAAACATAACGCAACCCGTACAAACAAGCGTAACTGTCGAAATGCATCGTGAGTAATTCTATTATTATTATTTTTTTTTCTCCACATATTCACTTCCTTCCTCCTTCTTTTCTTCCCCCTACCCTCGCCATACCTTTTCTTTTTTCCCACCTTTTTTGTTTTCTCATCATCTCCTTTCCTCTTCCTTTTCTCCTCCTTTCCCTCCTTACTCTAAATTCCCTTTCGAAAAATTAAAAAAAAAAAAAATTATTTATTTATTAAAGTGATAATAATAATAATAATAATAAAAGTGAAGCCCTAAGCTGATAAAGTCGTGATAAGAAAAAAAAAAAAAGTATTTAAACTCTTAATAAGGAAATGAAAAAAAAAGGAGAGAGGATCGATGAAAATTTTTTTTTTTTTTTTTTTTAAACAAAAAGAGAATGAAAAATTATTATTATTATTATTATTATTATTATTATTATTATTATTATTATTGAAGATGGTTTAATGATGATGATGATGATGATGATCGGATGAATGAAATTTTTAGTCTTGCCGAAGGATTAAATTTTTTTAATAACAAAAAAAAAAAAAAATTGAATCGAAAAATAATTTTCATATCGTTTATAAAAGAATTGAAATTTTTTTACTCTATGGATTTTGCAAAAAAAAAAAATGGCGTAATTATTACCTGTTAAATAAAATCGGTATTTTTACGGATGTGTGAACATTGTTACGTAATTAAAGATAAATAAGAGTACGACAAAGAGAAGGAGGGAGGGAAGAAAGAAAGAAAAAAAGGAGGGGGGAGGAGAAAGAAAAAGGAAACGCCCTGTTTGTTAAATTCCCTTTAAATCATCCGTTTCCGGTTTTATATATATATAAAAAAAAAGGAAAATTTTCCCCCTTTGAATGTTTCCTATTGAAAATTTTTTTTGTTTGACAACAGGAGAGGTAATTTTCATGCTGACGCTTAAATGACGGAAATAATAATAATAATAATAATAATTTTTACGTTTGTTAAAAGGCCTACGACGGTTAAATTTTTCTTTTTTTTTTCTTTTTTTCTTTCTTTATCATTTTATTATTTTTTTATACTATCAGGCGCTACAACAGGTGTGAGGAAAAGGTTGTTCATCATAAATTCAGTGAAAAAAAAAAAAAATTTAAATAAGAATAATAACAATAATAAAAAAAAAAAGAACATAAAATTTTCAGAAATTGCATTATTCCATTTTGACTGTATGATGCATAAAATGAAATTTCTTTTTCAACTAAATGTAATTCGCCGTTCAACGTGCAGTCGTGCAAGAAAAAAATCAAGAATGATAAGAAAATTAGAGACGCGGGTTTAAATCAACGGGAAAAACAATTCATTAAAGAATAAAAAATTTAAAAAAAAAAGGAATGGGACGAAACTCGCGGAAGCGGAAGAGAAAAAAATTTAAATTTTTGGCGGGAAATTAATTTTATTTTTATTAACCCCGCGTGAACGAATAAGAAAATTTTATTGCACTCGGCGGGGATGTGGAGGAGGCGGCAAACGAGCGTCAAAAACGCGGCAAACAAACGAACGAGTATGATTTTTAAATACTTTTTAATTTTTTTAAATTTTTATAAAAACGTCAAAAACGAAAGGAAAAAAAAAATTTTTTTTACGTCAAAAAAAAAAGAAAAAAAATCGGATCTTTATTTAAATAATTAAACTTCCGGTATTTTCTTGTTATTATTATTATTATTATTATCATTATCATCGTAAAGAGGGAAAATATAGAAAAAAGGAGAGGGAAAAATTGAAAAGTTTGTGTTTTTTTTTTTTTTTTTTTTTTTTTTAAAATGAACTTTACATAGTGAAAAAAATGTTTTTTTTTATCCATCCTTCCCTTTCTTTCTACCCCGACCCCTCCTTTTTTTTCTCTCAATCCAACAACACGAAAACCAGAAAATACCACGGCAGCCAACATTTAAAAAAGAGGAAAAAAAAAAGAAATCGTTAGAAACAGATGGAAAAACTCAAACACACACAACAGAACAACAACAACAACAACATAGTCGATCAGTTTTAAGTAAAGTTTTATAAAAGTAATAACCACACGCGGTGGGTTTTTATTACTTTACTTTACTTTTTTTTTTCTTCTGCTTTGCTTGTTCCAAACCTTTTTTATTTTTTTTTTACCTTTTCTTCTAATTTTTTTTTTATTTAAACCTTTTTATCATGTTTTTATTTAACCTTAAATAAATAAATAAATAAAATTATTTTCCATCATCAACATCTTTACCGATGATTTTTTTTTCATGGGAAGGGATTTTAAAGGGATTTTTTTTCTTCTTACACGTCGTCGATTTTCCTTTTGTTTTTTTAATATTAATTTATTATTTATGAACTTAAAAAAAAAAAAAAATTTACAAAACGATGACGGGAAGAAGAAGAAGGAAAAAAAAATTTGCTGCCGTAAATTCAGGTCAAAATTTTTTCTTTTTTTTTTTTGACATGTTTTCATTTAAAAAATAAATGATCCAAACGCAAAAAGAATGCAAAATTTTTATTTATTTATTTTATTTTATTTTTTTCGATTTTACGTTGTTGGCAGTAATGATTTCTCTCTCTCTCTCTCTCTCCCTCTCTCTTTTTTAAATCGACGTGACCGTAACATCCGCAAAATGATTTGTTTGATTCCGTTAAAAAAAATTTTTTTTTTTTTCTTTCGGAATGAATAATTTATTTGGTAAATATTTTAAAGGGTTAATGTTATTAATACCCGCAATTTCTTCTGCTTTTTCATCTCTCTCTCTCTCTCTCTTTCTCTTTCTTTTAACGTAATTTTATTTTGTAAAAGACTAACAGTCACGTTATTTTTTGGGAGTTGGCATTGTTTTTTTTTTTTTTTTTAACAAATGGATTTGACATTCGACGATTTCTTCTCTTCTTTTTCTTTCTTTTTTTCTTTTTTTCTTTCTTTCTTTCTCGCCGCCTTTTGAAAACTAAATTAAAATTAAAAATAACTTAATTAATTACGAGTGAAAATTATTATTATTATTATTATCATCATCTAAAAAAAAAAAAAGAGAAAATTTTTCTCGTCATCATTCGTAAAAGTTTTTTTTATTAATTAAAAAAAAAAAAAAAAAAAATGAGAGAGAAGAAAAAGAAAGAATTTCTTCTCGGTTATGCAAATGAATGAACGAGACAAATAAAGAGAGAGAAAGAGAAAGATTGAAAAAGTAAAGTAAAAGAAAGAGAAAATTTGAGAAAAAAAAGGAAGAGGAAAGGGAATTGAAAACGACCAAAAAAAAAAAATGGGGAGAGGTGAAGGAGGATAGAAAAAAAGGGATTAAAGGATAAAAAATCCCTCAATTAACAAAAAAGGAAAATTAAAAAGGATGACGGAAAATTTTAGAGAAGAGAAAGAGAAAATGAGCGGGGGTGGAGAAGGGAAGGGGGGGTAGAAAAAAAATTTTTTTTTTTTTTTGGAAAAGTCAAAAACCAAATAAAAAAGTTAATTATACGCTGGAATTGAAATCTTTTTTTTTTTTGTTTCAAATTAAATAAAAAAAAATCCAGAATGGAATGATTGAATGATTGACTGACTAACTCATAGAATTGGTAATTTTTTCTATAAAAAAAAAATCGCCATATTTTTTTTCCGTATCATTTTCACTCTCTCTCTCTCTCTCTCTCTCACGAATGAGTAAAAAAAAAAAATTTCCAGCGGATGAATTTTTCCAAAAAAAAAAAAAAAAAATTTATTTAAATCGATCGAATCTTTCTCTCTCTCTCTCTTTTTTTTATGGAATATATTAAATATTCATCGCGTAAAACGAATCCGTTTGCCCTTTTTTTTTTGCTGTCGTTCAAAAGAGGAGAAAAACGTCGTCGTCGTCGTCGATTTAAAGGGCAAAAAAGTTTTTTTTTTTTTTTGTGACGTCATTTTTTTTTAGAATTAAAAATAATTTTTATTTATTTATTGTTTTGATTTTAAACGTTAATAAAACATACAAAAAAAAAAAAGCTGTCGAAAAAAAAAAAGAGAGAGAGAGAGATAAATGGGGAGGGATTAGGTTAAAATGAGTATTCGAACCATAACCCGTGTAATCTGGGGGATCTCGTATTTACGCCTAATCTGGCATATCAATCAAAACAAATGACATCACGCTTCACAACAACACAACTTTCTTTTTGGCATTATCTGACGTCACTGCCACCGCCACCTCCAACTTCCGCAAAAAAAAAATAAAAATGGCGGAATTCGTCACTTTTTTTTTAAACGTATTTATTCTTTCGAAAAAATTTCTTTTTTTTATAAAAAACAAGTTTTAAAAAAATAAGAAAATTTTTCATTTACTTCCTCTTCCTTTTTGTCAGCTCCCCTCCCCTCCCATTTTTTTTTTTTTTTTTTTGAAAAAGAGTAGTTTTGAAATCATTTGAAGAAAACAAAAAAAAACTCATTTTTTTTTTTACCGTTTTTTCATTGTCTTATGTGGTGGTGGTGGTGGCGGGAAAAAAAGAACGTCGAACGCAAATGAAAAACCTTTTCTGCGTGATTTGGTAGCAAACGAGGAAAGAGAAAGAGAGAGAGAGAGAGAGAGAATGATGGGGAGTTTCAATGATTCATTTCGTTAAAAGGAATAAAAAAAAAAAAAAAAAAAAGGGTTTGAATTTTTTACTGAAAGGTTCGAAAAAAAAGGAAAATTTTACATTTTTCAATTTTTTTTTTTTTGTTTTCTCCAGTCAAACCGGTTTCCGTGAGCATTCTATCATCTAACAATCCATTGTCTGCAGAAAGAAATTACGAGCTTACATGTCAATCGATCGGATCTAGGCCTCCAGCTAAGATAACTTGGTGGAAGGATAACAAACTATTGGATAATTTTTCCGAAACGGTAATTATTATTATTATTATTAAACATTTAATGTGATGTGTAAATATATAATTTAAAAAAACGTCGTCGTCTGCTTTTATTATTGATTTTAATAAATCGATAAAAGCGAAAAAAAAATTTTTTTTTTTCAAAACGGATAATTTTAAATGCAAACAAAAAAATGGGCAAGAAACGCATTTGTCATCGTCAACCTTTTCTGACGTTTTTAAATAACTTTTTACACGAAAAATAATTTGTCATTGTTCGTGACGAGGGGATCATTGAGGAGAAAGAAAAGAAAAAAGAGGGGGTGCCTCCCCCTTCCCCGCCGAAAAAAAAAAATTAAAAAATTTTCTTTTCGCACTTTTAATTTGATTTTTTGTATCGGTTTTTCCAATAAAATTTTTTTTTGTTTGTTGATGAATATACAAACAACAACCAAATGATAAAAAGTTGAACTAACAAAAAAAGAGAACCCGGGAAAAATAGGGGGGAAAAGGGTGGGAAATAAGTGCGGTAAGAAGAAAAAAAATTAATTTTTACGATTCGTGAAAAATTTTAGTTTTGAAAAATTTTTTTTTTTTTTCATTATCGGATTGCGTAGTGGTAATAAAAGGAAAAAAAAAACTTTTTCTTTGATTAAAAAAATTTTTTTATAAGTAAAAGGAAAAAAGGAAAAATCTTAAAAGAGAGAAAATGAAAGCCGGAAACCTAAAAGAAATTTTCTTTTTTTTTCTTTTTTGATGGAATAAAAAAAAAAGGAAAATTTTTTTTTTCTGTGTGTGTTCGTACCTGATTTTAAAACGCGCGTGCGTGGGTGCGTACGCGCACGTACACACGCACGTACGCGTACGAACAAAGGAAAAAAAAAATAAATGATGATATATATTATAACAAGAAAATAAATTTTCTTTGATTCATTTAAATGTGAAAAAATAAATAATTCACTACGTAATTCGCCGCCACTTCCGCTTTCACCACCGCTCCCGCCTTCACCACCCCGCTATTTCCCATCCTCCACTTCTTCTACAAGCCTATTTCCACCCCCTTCCTTTTAGGATATATATATATATTTTCTTTTTGATTCATTTAATTACTTAAGATCTCATTTTGAGCCTTTTAATTTGCTTTAATACCAGCAAATAATTTTCAAAAGAAGGGCTGTTGTAATTTTACTAATCGCATTCCATTTAATTTTAGCAAAAGTTGTTGTAGAAAACTATTTTTAAAAATTTTGCTTTTATTTTCTCCAAAAAAAAAAAAAAAAAACGTAATTTTTCCGAGTTATATTTTTTCATCGCCATTGTTAAAAACATGGAAAAATATTGTAAAAAATGTTGATGATGACGTATATCGATTAAAATATAACCGGAAATGAAAAATTATACCGAACAATTTTTTTTTTTTTTCGCGCTGTCGTCATTGGTATCGATTTCAAAAAATTTTCCGGTTTTTTTTTTTTTTAAAAAAAAAAAGGGGGTAAATAAAGAAAAGTTTGAAAATGAAATTTAACCTTCGTAAAAAAAAAATTTTGTTTATTACCGGAAAAGTTTCCGATTTCAATCCGCGACTAAAGTTTTTTTTTTAAAGCAGACGAAAAAAAAAAAATTGCGACAAAATTTTATTCTTACCGATAATAACAGGGAAAATTAATGTTTAACTTACGTATGATTTAAGAACAACGAAAAAAAAAAATAAAATTTTCAATATGGCGGTTCCACCTCCTCCTTTTTTTCTTCTTCTTCTTTACTAAAACTAATTTTTTTTTTTTTTTTAATATCGAAAATAAGAGAAAAAGTTTTCTCATTAATGATTTTGTTTGCTTGTTTGTTTTTAGGTATCACCGGATGGTAACATAACAACTTCAATTCTTACATTTACACCAAAAGTAGAAGATCACGATCGAAGTTTGATTTGTCGAGCTGATAACAAACTTGTTAAAGCCGGAGCAGAAGAAGACAGTCTTATATTAAACGTATTCTGTATGTATTTTTTTTTTCAACCGCCTCTCCACCCATCCCCCACCCCCGTCGGCGCCGTTATTATCATCGAATATTTTCATTTCCGTTTTATCAGTACATGACTAGACGCCATATTTATAAAAAAAAAAAATAATAAAACTTTTGTTTTTGTTTTTACCGTAGACGGTAAAAATACATTTTCCTCCGGAAATAGATAATGGAAAATTTGCGGTCCTCATTACACAAGAGAAGGAAAAACTTTCGGGAGTTAGGGGGGAGGGAATGAAGGGAGGAGGTGTAGGTTAGTAAAAATTTAGATGGAGAACTTTGAATTTATTGTGCGGTCACGAAACATCGTCTCTGCGGTTCGAACCATAAATTACAATTAAATTGATTTCAAAACCTTTCGAACCTGAGAATTTTCATTTTTACTTTTTTTTTTTATTTTTTTTTTTAAACCTCAAACGAAAAGAAAATTCTAAAAGAAGAAGAAGAAGAAAAAAAGAGAGAATAAAAAAAAATTTAAATAATTAATTATGACGTCACTCAATCAAATAAATAATTAACGGCAATTTAAAGAGTTAAAAAAAAAAAAAAAAAAATGGCGGGAATTATAAAATGAATGATTACTGAAATATAATAATAATAAGAAGATAAATAATAATAAATGACGTTAAAATAAAATTATAATAGTTTTATTATCATTATTATTATTATTATTATGACAATTATAGATGATCTTATTAAAACGTAATTAAAAATAAATATGGCGGATGAAACAAAAAAAAAAATTTTTCTTAAAAATGTAAATTAATTAATATTAATGATTCGTTAAAAATGAACGTAATGAATGAAAATATTACAAAGCACGTGATTGGTTGTTTGAACGAACCAATCAGTGAACGAGTTGAAATCTCGCGCGTTCTGATTGGTCGAAATTTTCTTTGTATTCGTTTTTTAATGAATAAAAATTTTTTTGTTTTTTTAATTCATGTCGCGATTTTACGACTGGAAAAAATTATTAAAAAAGGAAAAATTCCAGGGAATTCGTTTAGAAAAAAAATTCCTGGAGATTATAAAAAAAGGATATTAATATTCTCGTTCGTAAATATTTCTATGTGACGTAGATTAATTTTTTTTGTTGAATTTCGCCATCGAAGACATTTTTTTTTTTTTTTTTTTAGAAAAGTTTGATAAACGTTTAGAAAAAAAAAACCGAAATTTATCTGGAATTTAATATTTAAATTTTTTTATAAATTGCGGAAATCCGTATTGGTTACCCCGTGGAAAACGATGGAAAATTTTTTTTTTTTTTTACAAAAAAAAACGGAAACCACGACGACGGATTCGATTTTCATCCTTTCGTTTTTTTTTTTTTTTTTTATTCAACTCGATTTTTCTCACACTCGCGTTCGTTTTTTTTTTTTTTTACGCACGCATACTCACGTACGCACGTACGCACACTCATTCGAAAAAAGGGTTTTTTTTTTGACCAAAAGGGATTAAAAAAATAAACGAACGAGTCGCAACCTTATAAAAAAAAAAAAAAATCACGAGCATCCGGTTTTCTTTGGCTCTTTTCCCATCGATGATGATTTTTTTTTTATCATCATTATAATTATCATTTTTCACCACCGCCTTATGTTGTGATAAATAAACTCATTTTTTTTTTTTTTAGATGTTCCTATTGCTCAACTCGAATTGGGTTCGAATCTCGATCCGAACGATATTGAAGAAGGCGATGATGTTTATTTCGAATGTAAAATACAATCCAATCCGCAAGCATACAAAGTCATTTGGAAGCACAACGTAAGTATTATCAAAAAAAATTGACCTCTGGATGACCCCTATGACTCCTGTGATTTTCCCACCCCCTACCTTTCCCCCCGACCACTCTCCCTTTCTAATTTTTTTTCCTCTTTTTTTATCAGACGACAAAAATTCGTTTTTTTTTTTTTTTTTAATTTTTGATGCGAATGTTTTTTTAATCGTGCACACACTTTCTAATCATCTCTCTTCCTCTCCCTTTCTCTCTCCCTTTCTCACATAGAAAAAAAAAAAACAAAAAAACAAAAATTTTCCAGAGATTTATTGTAAATTGCTTTTGCTTTTCTAAATTTGAATCTTTTAATTGCCATCCTTCATTTAGTACAATCTATAGATCTTTTTTTTTTTAAAAAAACAAATCCTACCAAAGCCCGATAGCCGCCATTTTAATTCAATCACGAAACGAATAATAATAATGATGATAATCATGACTTTTTTTTCTCACTTTGTTTCCACTTTTTTTTTTATTTTTATTTTTTTAAAAACTCGAACGGAAAAAAGTTATATCGAATCGCATTGATTAATAATAATTATTATTATTATTATCATCATTATTATTATTAATACCTTTTTTTTAATAAGTTATTAAAATATTATTTATTTAAAAAAATAAATAAATAAATAAAGTGAATAAACGTGGGGAGTCGTTTAATTAAGATGTTATGTGTAACGTCGTCGATACGACGCCATTTTACCACCCTTGAATTTTTTTTCATTATTATTATTATCATTATCATTATTATTATTATTTGTTTTTTTTGATGCCGTCGCGACGTCGACGACGTTTTTTTAATTTTCCGGCGTTATTTAAATCATTATTATTATTATTACAAACTTTCGTTTTCTCCGAAGCGATTGACTGGAATGATTTTGTTTTTTTTTTCACTTAAATGAAATTAAAAAATTTTTTTTTTATTCGATTTTGATGTTTTTTCATTTCCGGTCTCTTTCACCGGAAACGGGTTTTTTTGGGGGGGGCGCTATACATGGGAAACGCACGTAATGATATCATCATCACCACCATCGTAGTTGTGAAAAACGTTTTGGTTTTTTTTTTTTTTTTTCTCGAATAATATTTCAATTGATGCGTAAATAAAAAAAAAAAAAAAACTATTTTCTCTCTCCCTCTCCCCTGTCCCCTTTTCCCCTTTTCTTTCCCTCCCTCTCTCCCTCCCCTAGATTTAAAATTTACGTTCGGTTTCCGTTTCCGATTCGATGTTTACATATTAAAATAAATTTCATCGATTTTAATACTTTGATAACAAGTTATTTATTTACGATTTTATAAAAATCAACCCTGTGATAAGACCGGGGATGGTGATGTTGGGAAGGCGGGGGATAAAGGAGAAAATGGGAACGGAGGGGGGGTTACATTTCGCGTAAGAAATAAGTTCGAGAATAAAAAAAAAAAAATCACGGATTTGAAAAAAGAAAAAAAAATTCAAAAAGAAACAATTTCCGACCATTTTGATTTCGAGGGGGTGTGGGGGTTAAAAAAAAATAATAATAATAATTTTTCCTGTCATCTTGCTGTTGTTACTGTTCCTGTTGCTGTTGTTCGTGTGCGTTGAACCTTTTTAATAATCCCTCAGATTTTTTCATTTCTTTTTTTTATACCCCTTTAATTTAAATGTTTATAATATCAAGCGAGGAAGGGGAAGGAGGTAGAGGTAGGGGGTTGAGGGGGATAGAAACGAAAAGAGAAAAAGCGTAAAAAAAAAAAAAATTATTTATTTATTTATTTACGTTTTTTTTTCCTGTTGGAAATTTTTTTTTTTTTTTGTTTAGCCTTTTTTTAAATTGGCAGAAAACCTGGAGAAAATAATAAGAGAGGTTGGGGGATGGTGTGGGAGGGGATGGGATAAGAAACCTTCAACGTTTGGGTTTCCTGTTGTTTAAAAAAAAAATTTTTTTTTGTTATTATTAAGTGCGTGCGTGTGCGTATGTGTGTGGACTCTCATTCCATAAATCTACCCTCTCCGTAGGGGGTACGAAATGAAAGAAGTGGGGGTAGTTTTTTTTTCTTTCTTTTCCAAATGAAAAAAGTGCAAAAAATAAATAATAATAATAATAATAATAATAATAATAATAACGGGAAAGATCATAAATTTAATTATAATGACGGAAAAAAAAAAAAAAAAAGAAAAGAAGTGAGAGAGAGAGAAAAAGTAAAAGAATTGGAGAAAGAGAGAGAGGGGGGGAGAGGAGTGTGATGGAAATGAATGAATGAGTGAGTGAGTTAGAGAGAGAGAGAGAGAGGAAAAAAAATGTTATTTTACCATATTTATATTTTTTTTTCTCCAGATCGGGTTTAAACTAGAATGAAAAAAGTTTAGGTCGAGTAAAAAAAAAAAAGACACCGCGTGTGGAAACTTTTCTCTCTCTCTCTCTCTCTTTATATATATATAAATTTTATTTTTATTATACTAAGGTTTTGTTTTTAATAGAAATTTTCTAAAAATGAAATTTTTTTTTTTGATATCAAGTATCCCTGCTGGGCTCGTATGGATTTAGTCTAGTCTGGAGAAGAAAAAAAAAGAGAGAGAGAGAGAGAAAAAGTTTCATTCCAGTTTGAAATTAATAAAAAAAAAAAAATTTAATTTTAAACCGAAATAATCTCTCTCTCTCTCTCTCTCTCTTTTTCTTCTTTTTCATCTTCCTGTCGAAACTTTTCAAAACAGGTTAATAATAAAATTACGTGAGAGTTTTTTTTTTTAAAAATCAGTATGGCCAACATATTTTTTTTTCCGTTAAAATTAAAATTTTTTTTAAAGGAAATTTGCGCGTAAACCGCAAAAACGACGATACTATCGACAACAAACAAACAAACAAACAACAACGACTGCGGTTTTTATTTTTTAAATTTCATCGTTAACCTTTTTAATTAATTTATATATTTTTTTTAACTGACTGAATAACCTTAATACTACCCTGAAATCGTCCTTTTTGTTTAATCGATAACGTACGCAATATATATATATATATATATATATATATATATATATAACGGAAATGATGCCAACTTTAATTTTTTTTTTACAAAAAACCAATAATTTGTTAATAAAAAATTTATTTCGAGTTATTTATTGTACAATTTTTTTATCGTGTCACGAACCTTTTAAATATAAATATATTGAGATACTATGACGTCACATTTTCAAAAAAATTACGATTGCGACGACGACAGCACTGCGGAAACTGTTTAAAATTGTCGTCGCACGTGTAGATTAAGTTGGCACTCGTGAATTATATCGGCAGAAAGGAAAAGGAAATGGAAAAAAACATACACACACTCCTCCGCCACCACCGCAAAAAAAAAACAAACGTTTCGATAATTGAAAACGAAATAAATTATTCGTAAACGTTCGTGATTGACGTCGGTAGGGGAGAAAGGGGAGGGGGAGGGTAAAAGGCCGCAGACAGACAATTAAAACCGCAAAAATTTTAAATCTGGAAAATTCTATGAAGGAATAAAAATGAAAATAATTCCGTACATTGAGTGAATCCCATTCTCGGAATGCGAAACAACCCCCTGGAATCATCATTATTATTCATTACAAAAATTTACAATGCCGATTCCGCCTCTCGTCGTACCCCTTCCCCTCCCCTTTCTCCCGAACAAAGAAGGAAAAAAAAATAAAGTCCATCCCCTAAAAAAAAAAATTTTTAGTAAACTAACCGGAAGGAGAAGGATTAATTACGAAAATTTTCCACCGGAAAGTGAAAAACCGGTAAAATGTGTCGTCCATTTTCCAGTTTTCCACAGTAAAGTCAATCATGGTTAAAATGACGTCACATTTAAGGAAAAGTAAAATTAACGTTTTATTAGAATAAAAAATTGCCTGGAGAAAGTCAAATTTTTTTTTTTTTGGTCAAAAACATGACTTGCGCGTCGTATTTTGTCTAACAATCCCCTTTAACAACAACAACAACAACCGTACCAAAAGGATGATAACCTTAATAATATTTTTCTCGTCCGCCATTTTTTTTTTTAATCTATGACGTAAACAACCGAAAGAGTTTAATAAGTAGTTAACACGATAGCCAGCCTTAAAGTATAAAAGAGGGGGGAAAAAAAAAGTGAGAGAAATAAGATTAAAAAAAAAGGAGGAGGTGGGAGGTGGGAGGGAAGGAGGAGAAGGAGAAGGAAGGGGAAAAAGAAAAAGCAGAAGAAAAAATAAAAAGGTTTAAAAAGGTTTTAATAAAAAAAAAAAAAGAAAACACAATGAAAGGAAGAATTTTTTTTATTTTATTTTTTCCTGGTCTTTTTCATTCATTTTTGTCTTGAAAAAAAAAAAAAGCAGAAGAAAAAAAAAGGTGAAGGAGATGAAGGAGGAGGAGGAGAAGGAAAAAGAAGAAAAGAGTTAAAGAAATTGTGAAAAGAAATAAATACAAGTTAAAAAAAAAAAAAAGAGAAGAAAAAGTTTTCCAAAGTAGTTTAAGATAAGTTTTTCAATCTTAATTTTAATTTAGTTTAATTATCTTAGGAGGAGGAGGGGCTGGAGGGGTAGGGAGGGAAGAGAGAGAGGGGAGGAGAAAAAGAGATTTTCCGTATAAAACCTTCAACGATTGTATCGAACATTCTATAGTTTAACAGATTCTTTTTATCTATTTCCTTTTTTTTCTCCCCTCTTTTCTTTTTAACCCGCAAGACATTTTCCTTTTATTTCTTTTTTTTTTTTCTTTTCTTCCTTCCTTACCTTCTTACTTTTATTTTGTTGTCGTGACCTGGATTTATCTTATCCACCCCCACCACCACCACGCAATAAATATGTTTTTTCTTTTTTTTACAGGGACTTCCACTTCAGCACAGTTTAAAAAGTGGCATCATATTAAGTAACAGAGCTTTGGCTTTGCAAAGCGTTAAAAGATATCAGGCTGGAGAATATTCGTGCGTTGCATCAAACGTCGAAGGAGACGGAGAAAGCAACATTGTCACATTGGCTGTCATGTGTAAGTTTTTTTTTAATAGCAAAATCATTATTATTATCATTGTAAATCGAACGGCGAACGGTTGGTTACAAAAAAAAAAAAAAAAAAACTTGTCGTTAAATTATTAACATAAATGGGTAAAACGTGAAAAACGGTTTAACGTTCATAAATTATTTAAAAGACTTAACTTGAATTTAAGCTCGGTGAAAGCGTCTGTGTGTGTGGGGGGGGACGAACGCGTAGGGACAAACGCGTGGGGTCGGTCGCGTGGGGCCAGACGTGAGGAAAAGTAAGGAAAAAAAATATTTTTTTAATCTTTTTTTTTTTTTTAGACTTTTAAACAATGACCAAATCATAATTTAAAGATCATCGCGATCGTAATAATAATAATAATAATAATAATAATAATTTTATAATGAATCTCACGTTGAATTTCTTTTTTAACAATGTCACGTGTTATTGTCGTCACGTGGGATTTTCTTCTTTTTTTTAACGCATTTGTTTAACGACGTCGAGAGAGAAAGAGATGAAACTTAAAAGAATTTTTTTTTTCTGGAAAAAAATCGACTGGAAAACTGGAATTTTTTTTTTATAAAAAGAATTCAAATGATATCTTTAGAATCGAGTTAAAAAGTATTAAATTTGATATTTTTATACAAAAAACCGTTTTTTTTTTTTTTCTAACGGATTTTACAAAAAAACAAATCGTATTTCAAAAGAAATTGTTGTTGACGTCGTGTGTGTGTAAATTTTCAATGGAAACTACAAAAAGTTTCCGGTGACACGATTTAAAAAAAGGAAACACAAAGGAAAATAAAAAAGGAATTGATATAATCGCAACGGAAAAATAAATATTTACTTTAAATAATAATAATAATAATTGACCGAGTGCAACAAACGCTGTCGTCGTCACATCGTCGTGAAACAAAAGAAAAAAAATAATTATTGTTATGTTTGGAAGGAAAGGGGGTAGGGGAGGTGAGGGTAAGAGAGGGGGAAAGAAAGAAATATTTAAAAAAATTTTTTTTTCTCGTTTTCACATCGTTATTTCATTATTATTATTATCATTATTTTTTTTTAATGATAAACGAACAAACAAAGGAAGAAGGAAGGAAGGAAGGAAAAAGTTTTGTTGTTACACGAATAAAATTATTATTATTATTAATTTTTTTTTATACGTATACCAACTTAACAGAAAAAAAAAAGAAAAAATCTCATTAAAAACAAATTTATGAATTCACGACCAAATAAATTATTTTATTTTTTTTTTTTTTTACTTTTTCCTTTGAATTTTATCGGGGGGGTGGGGAGGTTACTTATTATTAATACCACCACCACCACCACCACCGTCGATGATAATGATGATGATAACAGCATCGTATTATATTTCTTCTGCTACTGTTTTCATTTCAATTTATTTATTTTTTATTTCAAATTAAGTTTAAGATGGATTTTTATATAAAAAAAAGAAAATTACACGACTCATGAAAAGCTTTTTTTGGTTTAAATTAATGATTTTCTTTTTTTTTCTTCTTTTTTTATCTTATCTAAAGCAGAAGATAATGAAATTTTTTTTTTTTTATTTTGTACGTTGTAGTTAAAAAAAAAAAAAAAAAAAAAAAAACTTAAAATGAAGAGGAGGAAAATACAAAATTACAAATTCTTTAGAAAAAAAAAAAAGGAAATGCTTAACAGTTTATTTAATTTTTTTATTTTTATTTTATTTTTTATTTTAATGCGGTTTTTTCCTTCCTTCCTTCTTTCCTTCCTTCCTTCTTTCCTTCCTTTCTAAAGTATTCTACGATGATAATGATAATAATGATGATCGAATTATTTACAACGAGAAAAATGTGAGAGAGAAAAAAAAGTTTTCTTTAAAAAAAATTTTGAGATTTTTTTTATAGTTTTTAGTTTTTATTAAAAACCACCATCTTGTTTTTTTTTTTTTTTTAATGGAAAAAGTAATAAAAGGATAAAAAAAAAATTATTTGTCGTCATTTGATAAACATTTAGAACATTCTAGACACCTTCGGCTACTTTTTTTTTTTTTTTTTACTTTCCCATCCCTACCTATCCCTGTCTTCTATTACATTAATATTGCATAAAAATTACAAAAACTTTTTTGATTTACACTCTAAACGTGAACCTGTATAAAAAAAAGGATAGAAAAATAATATTAATGATAATAATAATGAAATACCTGGGATCCGTCGAGGAGTGTAAAACAAGTCGTAAAAGTTGTTTAAAAAAAAAAAAACTTTTTTCAAACTCGTAGAAAAATAAAAAAATAAAAAAAATTTTTTTTTTTACTTCTCCTATTTCGTCCCGCCCACCATCTTCCCCCTACATTCTCTTTCCCCTCCTCTTTTAATTACGTGAGAATTTATAATTATTATAATGATTATTATTATTAATGCGAAATAAATTTAAAAAAGAAAAAAAAAAAATTTCTCAATGGGAATAAAATAAAACAAATTCTTTTTACGTGTTTTTTCCCCTCTTTTTCTTTACCCCTCTCTTTTTCACTTTTTTTCTCCTACAGGCCCACTTTTTTTTCAGCCAATCACGTTGTTTCTTTTTTTCCCCTTTAAATTTTTATTTGCTCATTTTTTTAGTTTTCTACTCGCACTCTTTTTTACTATTTTTCCCTTCCTTACGTTTATTTTTCCTCACATCAAGTTCTTTCCCTTTTTCCTCAACTTTTCTTTTACCCCTACCTTTTTTTTTACTCGTATCATATTTCCCTTTTTTCCCCTTTTCTTTCTTTTTTTTGATTTTTTCCATACTCTTTCTCTTCCCTACGTTTTCATAACTCCTCCCCACTTTTTCTATACTCTATCGCTTTCTCCTTTTTTTTTACCCCGCAAATTTTTCTATTACTCCTCTCTCTCTATTTCTTTCTTTACTCCTCCCCCCTTTTTTCTTTTACCCCGTGACGTTCCTCCTCTTCTCCCTTCTAGACTTTTCACGATCGTCGAAAAAGAAAAAATTTTGTCACTTTTTTAAATTCTATTTCGTTTTTTTTTTTTATTTGTTTGTTGTTACTTTGGTTTATTTTTTTCACGTTTTGCTTGTTTGTTTGTTTGTACGCCGTTCATCAGCAAGTTTTATAATCGAGATAATTTTTTTTTTAGCGTTTATCGTGAGAATTCTGTTGTAGTAATGTACTCTTGCCTATTTTTTCTTGTTTTTAATAAACAAACAACAAACAAAAAATAAAAATTAATTTTTTTTTATTTGTTTTCTAATTCGACTGCGTGTCAATTTTCTTATGGTGATTTTTAAATCTTCGTTCGAATTTTAATTAAAAAAAAAAAATACTCTTGGGAATAGGGATGGGGTGGTTAAGTAATGACCTTGACGTAAATTTTCCAGTTTTGTTTTTCCAGGCGAATTAATAAAAAAAAATTTTTTTTTGAGATGTTTGAGCCTCCAAAAAGTTTATTCGGCTTTACAGAAACTAATTTCACAAACTTTCACTTTCTTTCTCCAGAAGCTTTCTCCAGCAGGTTCCACTCTCTTCGACTTTTCTAATTAATTATTTTCTATATTAAAATTTAAAATTATATAATTTGAGAAGAAAAAAAAAAAGAAATATTCGCCATGTTTGTATTAAAGTTTTACGATTGAGAGATAGAGAGAGAGTAAAAAACGTGGCAGTAGTAAATAAAACGTAGAATTTTTTTATAAATTATAAAATCGATATATACGATATCGGTTAAAATAACGTTTTTTTTTTGTTTTTTTCTCCAGATAAACCTCTCTGCAGGAACGATCAAAAGAGGATTTATGGAATCGCTCGAAACGAAGAAGCAAAAATTTTATGCGAAGTCGATTCGTTTCCGGCTCCTCTAACATTTCGATGGTCTTTCAATAACACGGCAGAAACGTTCGAAGTACCCCAGGAAAAGTACCGAACGGGTACCAGATTTCTCAGCACGCTCATGTATAAACCGATATCCGATATGGATTACGGTACCGTCATGTGCTGGGCAACAAATTCTGCCGGAGAGCAGATCGAACCATGTGTCTTCCATGTGATAGCAGCCGGTACGAAATTACTATTATTATTATTATTTCCTTATTTTTCCATTCGATAAAATAATTTTGTCTGTTTCCAGGTCATCCAGACCCGCCTTTTAATTGTTCGGTTCTTAATCAAACGACGGAATCCCTTGAAGTCGAATGCGTCGAAGGTTTCGACGGTGGTCAACCTCAATGGTTTTTCGTTGAAGTTCGTGATAGTCAAAGCGGAGAATTGAAAGCGAATATTTCAAACAAATTTCCAGTTTTTAGCATAAGTCATTTATCTCCAGGACAAATTCTCAAACTTTTAGTCACGGCCGTTAATAATAAAGGAAAAAGCGATTCCGTATTTTTAGAAGGATTCACATTGAAAGTTGCCGAAAAACAAACAGGTGAGATGATGATGGCGACGACGACAGGAACAACAACAAAAAACATTAATTAAATCACGTGATATTTATAATTTATACGCAGGAACTCCAGCAACGCTCAGCATGACACCCGTTTTGGGTTATTTGGTCGGAGGATGTTTAATCGTTTTACTCATGGCTTTGGTTGCTGGTATCGCCTGGAGAAAATCACAAACGAAATCAACAAACAGATCCGATGTGCGACAATTAAAAGAAAAAGTTGTTCTGCCATTGAGATCAGACGTTGATGATTTTTGCGAAATGGAAGATAAAAATCCAGATGTCGTCCCGTGCAATAAAGGTAAAATACATTTTATTTTTTATTCTTCTACCGTGTTTCTTCTTCCCCTACGTCCTCGTTATTATAATAATAATATTTTTCAACGACAGATTCAAATTATCAATTGATATTATCATCGGATACACCAACTTCCGGTTTATTAAATAATAAAAATCGTGATAATTCCGACGGTGAAATATTTCAAAAAAGTACAATTACAAGAAATGGAGGAATCCATGATAATTATAAAAATGGAATTCCAAAATTGCCTAATAGTAACAGTATTAACGTAAGTGAAACATTAATAAAATTTCCAGGAATCCTGGAAAAACAATGCTAAAATGTTTTTCCTATATATATTCCAGTCACCGAGCGAAGTGACGTATGCAGAATTATGCATATCACGTCCTGGTACGATTGGTGACGTCAAAACAAAATCATCAATCGTCTCGTGTTCGTCTCAGCACCAACAACACCAACTTCCGCTAAGACGAGATAATACGAGACAGGATCAAACAATTTATGCCGTCATAGATCACAATCGAAGGCCGCCACTACCATCATCCGGATCGGGGTCGGTGGCGGCGGCGGCGGCGTGTAACGATAGTAATACTATTAAATCCCCTCTCACCCCTACAACGTCTTTAACCCCCGGTAGTACTAAAGAAATCGTGACGGTGAGAACGCCACTCATGGGTCACCAACAGGAAAGTTGCGTATAGCTGGAACGTTATAATAATGATGATGATGATGATGATAATGATTATTACCTCACATCCAAAGTGTACCTCGTGTAGATAATAATAATAATAATAATAAATAATTTTTTTTTATCTATCTATATCTTGTATATAAAAAATTATTTCGCCATATGTATAAAAAAAAAAAAACTCGAAAATGTGTCAACAACTTAATTAATAATAATAATAATAATAATAATAATAATAATGATGATGATGATAATAATGATAATTTTTTTGCCCCCCCCCACTATATTAAAATACTCACTGTACATATATATATAAATTACATACTGTGAAATTTATTTTTTAATAATTATAATAATAATAAAAAGTTTATATATAAACGGAAAAAATTGTATTTAGAAATTTCATTTATAATAATAATAATAATAATAATAATAATAATAATAATAATAATAATAGGTAATTGTTTATTGTAAATTAAAAATGAGAAGACGATTGATTGATAATCAAATCGCGAAATATTTAATTGTCATTTTTGGATTTTCTTACTTTTCTTTCTTACTTTTCGTCCAATATATGTATGAATCGCGTTCAAAATTATTATTATTATTATTATTATCATTATTTTTTTTTTCCGGCGAAATTTCTGGAAGTTTAAGTGACGGTAATAATTCGAACAATTTCCGGTTAGTAAAAAACAAATAAAATAAAATAAAATATTCGGGATTTTTAAATTTTAAGTGAACCGGATGTTCCGTGTGACGGAAGAACGGACGCCATTTTATTAATTGTTATATTATTATTATTATTATTATTAATTTTTTTTATATTTGTTAATGTATCTCTTCATCACAGGTAAAAGAAAATTTTTATCGCGAGGAAAAAAAACAGTGATGCCAACAATAAAAAAAATTTTTTTAATATTACTCGCCGTTGATAGTTTTTCTTCTCGATCATTAATGATAATGATAATAATGATAATAATGATAATAATAATAATAATAATAATAATAATAATAATAATAATAATAATAATAGTTGTAAATAAAAAAAAAGGAAGAAGAAAAGGAAAATAATAAAATGATGTAACAGTGAGTTTTTCCAAAGACTGAAATTATTTATATAAATATTTACACGAATTTATTTGAAAATTTTAAAAAACCGGAAGTTTTAATAATGGCGCCAAATTTTTTTTATTTCCGTTTAATTAATTTTCTATTTTTAATTTTTATTTCACTTTTACCATCTTTTTCATGTTCGAATTATTTATTTATTATTCTAATTATTATTATTATTATTTATATTAAAATCGATTTTTGAGAATTTAAATTTAAAAAAAATTTGGCGCCAAAATTTAAAAAAATCAAATTCTGTGAACTTATTTCGTTAAAAAAAAAAATCGCAGTTTGTTCCCTTCGATCGTATGAACAAACGACAAACACGATAATTTTTTTTTTTATCGAAAACGACGATAACAACAACAGGAACAAACAGGAAAAATAATTTCATTGGAAAATTGCATACACTTAAATAATTATTATTATTATTATCATCGGGGGAAAAAAAACGAAACGCATATCAATTTCATACGCGTCGTCGTAAAAAAAAAATTCCTACGCATGCGTAATTTTTTAAAATACAACAAACAAACAAAACAAACATTAAAACGAACATTAAAACAAACATTATTTAAAAAAAAAAAAAAACGCGCGCGTTTGTACTCATTAATTAATATAAGTAAAAAAATTTTTTAAGTGCCATAATAACTATTTAGATTTAAGAAAATATTTTACTTGTTTATTATTATTTAACAATTATTATTATTATCATTATTATTATTATTATTATTATTATTATTATTATTATTATTATTATTATTATTATTATATGTTTTATTATAAATAGAAAAAAAAACATTACGAATGTTTTTATCATTTTTTTTCGTTGTTGTTCTAATAAGGCAAAAAAAAACTACAGCGATTTTTTGTTTACAAAAGGATTTTTTTTTCGCTGTCGGTCTTCCCACCTTTCCTTTCACTCCGTCCCTCCCCCTCTCCCGAACCCTACCCCTCTCGAAAAAAAATTAAATAATTAAAATTTAATTTTGAAAAAAGAGGATGAAACGAATTAAATTTTACAATTGCGAAACGTAATTGAATGATTGAAAGAATTAAAAAAAGGAAAAAAAAATTTTTTTTGTTTGTTTGTTTGTCTGTTCGTCTGTTCGCCGTCTGTTCCCCGTCTGTTGGTGACGTGTATAAAGAGCCGCGCTATTATGGATTTCGATGAAATATATAAAAATTACGAAAAATTCGATACATATCAAAAAATGATAATTTATTTAATATTATTACCCGCTGTCGTACCTTGCGGTTTTCACGCTTACAATCAAATATTCATATCGGGAAAACCAAATTTTTTTTGCATTAATTTCGACAGAAATTTAAGGTGAGATAAAAATTTTCATTTTTAACTATATAAAACGCCGCTTTTTAATTTTCTAATCACCGCCATTTTTTTTTTTTAAGTTTTAACGAGTATCAAGAAAATTCGAGTATCCATTTAAACGAATGTCGTACGAATACAACAACAGGAAAAATGGATAATTTATGCGATACCGGAAGTTTTATTTACGATTTATCGAAATATTCTTCAACTGTCGTCACCGAGGTAAGTTTTAACCGATAGCATTATCATTATAAAATAATAAAAAACCATTTATTTTATATATTATTAATATATTTAATAAAAAATTACAATTAGAGTTGAGAGAGTGAGAGAGAGAATAAAAAATTTTTTCTTCTGACGGGGGTTGGGGGGTAAGGGAAGTGACGTCAATGCGGGAAAACAGTTTCGTTTGTGTAAACTCCATTAATATCACTTCTTAACTTGATAAAAATATTATCACCGACAGCGGATTCATATTCGAATGTGGAATTTTTCGATTCTTCTAAGAAAAGTATAAAATCGATTATGCCAACCGTGACACCGACCACGCACAAATACAAACCGAATAATATGCACAATATAGTCCACAAAAGACGCCAATAACATTTCCCGTGTCCTTTAGACGGATAATACGTCACGTAATGTAATATAGCGGGTAATGTAATTTCCAAATGACTGTGTAAGAAAGCACCCTTGAGTACTATCATGGTACCCAAATCGGGTACTATGCTCGCAACAATATACGATATTATTATGCAAAAATACCTGCCGCAATACTCGGCGTAGAAAACGCTATTTACATCAATGTAACTTTTTAAATAATTTGTCCATAAAACGTTGAAAGCAACGTAAAAAACTATGGGCGACGTTAAAAATATCGATAATATTGCTGTGATTTTGATGCAAACGGCAATGACTTCGTCGAGTGGTAAATTTAACATTATGCTAGGATAAGTATCGTCGCCATATTTCAAATATCCCAAAAAACCAAAGGGAAGAAAAATTAAACATTTTATAATGACGCTCACGCAGTAGATTCCGGGACAAGAAAAAAATTTCTTCTGATGTATCATGCTGCTTTTAAGGGTCAACGACACCGAAAGACCAGATAATGAAAATGATACGATCGATATGAATCTGTGTATTGACACGTAAGTACCGACGTACATTCTCGTACTTATTTCCGGTAAATCTTTCGATACGTAAAATATAATTACGAAAATAGTCATTACCAATATCAATAAACAGGATATGAATGAAAATGGCGTTAAATATTTTAAATCTCTCACGCTGCTCATGGCCATCAACCAGACAACTTGTAAAAAAAGAAAATGATAAACGTTTAAAAAAGTATGAGGAAAATAAAACGTGACGAGAGCTTCCATGTTACGCGCGACAAATATCATAAATATCGAACACGAGTCTAAATAAGTGACGATAAATAAAAAATTTACGAAAAATTGAAAAAATGGCGCGAAAGGTTTCATCCTATCAGAACAACTCCTTAGTGACACGTATGCAACTTGATCGTACGTACGTATTTTAACATCTTCCCTTTCCGATAGGTACGTCGCACTTTCGCATAATTTTTTCATGTTCATGCTAACTATTGATATCATTATCAGGTATCCGAAAAATGAAAACATCAAACCGCCGTTTGAAAAACCGTAGGGCATTGATAAGAGTGCGGGTGATAAGAGAGCTTTTAAAAAATGTGTCATTACGACGAACGTCGAGTTACTTTGAAAACTTTTCTTATAATTTCCTGCTATTACCGGTGATGGTTCCGGATATATTTCGACTTGATTTGATAAAGCGTTCGATTCTCGACTCGGTGCTGATATTCCAGGACCACCACCTCCTCCTCCTGCTTCTCCTGCTGATCCTCCTCCTCTTCCTCTTCCACTTGTTCTTCTAAGCATTCTATTTTCTCCTTCTTTTTCCATTTCCTTTCCTTCCTTCCTTCTTAACGAAAATTATTATAATTATTATTATTAATCAATCATCTTTATCCATACGTCCATCCGTACATACACGAGATGAGTATATGTAAACAACGTTTATTTATTCTGTGTGCGTCCGTGTGTGTTTATAAAAAAAAATTTTCCCATAGAATAAATAGACACCCAAAAAATTTAAAAAAAAAAAAAATGGCGTCGTCGTCAAATGGAACGGAAAGAATAATGATGGTAATTTTTTGTGTTTTTTTTTACAGTGGGATTTGATATGTAAAAATGATTTTTTACCAACTTTAGCTTTGATCACTTTCGGAATCGGTGGATTTATCGGAAATTACGTCATAGGAAACATACAAGATTTGTACGTATATAAAAAATTATTATTATTATTATTATTATTATTATTATCGGGTAATTATTTTGTGTTTGTCGTTTTAGGTACGGTCGTAAAATTAGTTTTTACATTTGTTTAGTCGTACAAATAATTTTTAGTACGGCATCCGCTTTTGCCACGTCATTTTGGATTTGGATGTTGTTGAGATTTTGCGTTGGATTTACTGTACCCGCCATATTGGAATCTCCCTTCGTTTTAGGTGAGATGAAAACGTTTTCGTTAACATTTTAATGCCACGAAAGTAATGATGAAATGAAATTTTTAGCCGTGGAATTAGTCGGACCGAAAGATCGAACTTATTGCACGATATTAATTAACATCGCATATTCGATCGGTTTGGTTTTGTTATCAGGAATTTTTTACATGATAAGAGATTGGAGAAATTTAACATTGGCTACGACGTTACCTTTTTTATCATTATTTTTTTATTGGTGGTAAGTGCGAGATTTTTATTTCCTTTTTTCCTTTGAAATTATTAAAAAATTATTATTATTATTAAATAGGATCATGCCGGAATCACCGAGATGGCTTTTCGCCAGAGGAAAATACGACGAATGTTTAAAAATATTAAATAAAATTGAAAGAGTTAATAATATACAATTTGAATCCGATCACGTGATTCATTTAAAGGTATTGTATACATTTTGTCTTCTTCCACGTTCACGACGAGAAAAGAGAGTGAAAAAAGAGAAAGAAAATTTACACGTTACGTCAGTTTTTTATATTTAAATTTAAATTTAAATTTTTTTTTTTAAACTTTACAGGAAAATTTTTTAAAAGTTAATGATAATAATATTGATAATGATAAAAAATGTTCAGAAAATTTCGGTGTGAGTTATTTGTTCAGGTATAGAAATTTAAAAAGGAAAACTATTTTGATAACTTTTATTTGGTGAGTTTTTCCCGATTTTTCTTTTTTCTTTTGATTTTTTTCTGATTTTTCCGGAAAAAATTTTTTTTTTTTTTGTTTTTTCAGGTTCAGCATCACGGCCGTTTACGTCGGTTTGTCTTATTACGCTCCTGCCATCGGTAACGACGATGAATTTTTTAATTTTTTCTTAGCCGGTGCCGTTGAATTACCCACGTACGTCATTTTATGGCCGGCAATGGAAAAAATTGGAAGGCGGTGGATATTGAGTTTTAGCATGGCTTTGGGTGGATTCGCATGTTCTGCAACTTTTTTCACGCAAAATAGTAAATATCCTCTGGGAGGAGATGTGGAGGGGACTTCCTTAGACGATGATGATGATGATTTTCACTTTTCAGATAAAATACCCACACTCGTTTTATACTGTTTGGGAAAAATTGGAATTTCGTCTAGTTTTGTAGTACTTCCGTTAATGGCGTCAGAAATATATCCGACAGTAGTTAGAGGAATCGGTATAAGTTTTAGTTCCGTCGTCGGACAAATCGGACCTATAATTATACCATTGATTAATTATTTGGTTCGTATATACATCACGTCATTTAAAAATGTTTTGTTTTACATAACCGGAAATCGATTAAATATTGATGTAAATTATCAGGGAAAAGAATATCTTGTATTTCCTTTACTCGTTATGGGAACTTTACTTTTATTGGGTAGCATTGCGAGTATGATTTTACCGGAAACGTTAAATCAAAATTTACCGGATACGTTTGAAGAATCCGAATCCGTTGAAAATCATTCTTATTTATGGCGAGTATAATTTTTCTTTTTTGTTGCAAAAATAAAAAAAAAAAATTATTTTTTTCTGTTTTTTATTTTTTTTGCTTTTTTTTTTAGGAATTTAATTTTTAATGAAAAACCAAAAAAGGAAATCAAACTTCCGGTTTAGAGAGTTTTACAGCAGAAGAAAAAAAGACAAAAGATAATGAACGGAAAATTTTTTGTGACGAAAGGAAATTAAAAAAAAATTTTTTTATTTTATTTTATCGTATTTATTTTAGCAAAAATATATTTTTTATGTACATAATTTATTAAAAAAAAAAAATTATTTTTTAAGTAAAACGTGATTTCTGTCGATGTTTTAACGACTACTTCCGGTATCCGGGTTCACGTTTTACGTATTCAATTTAAAATTTAATAGAAAACCAATAACGCGACGAGTATCGTTTTAAAAATAAAAATTAAATTTCCAGGAAATTTTCAAAAAAAAGGAAGGGAGGGAGGAATAGGAAGGGTCGGAAGATCGCCCCCCATGGGACGATTGGGAGAGGACTTGAAGGAAAATTTTAGTGTCTTCCACGCACTCCTAAAAAAGACCGGGGAATAGATAGGCTAGGGAGGAAAGAGAAGAGGAGGATCCACCTCTTTTGCAGAGGGGCGGGCAAAAGAAGGAGTAGGCATATTTGGAGGCGGGTTTTCGACTCCCTCAGAATTTCGGGTTGGTGGACGTGTCTCGCCTGGAAAAAAAAAAGGACTCGAGTTGGCGATGAAATTCTTACTATCTTTCGGGATAGTACAAGAAGGTCATCACGCCCGAGCCGAGGACTAGATAAATATGTCGCGAGTTATTCAAGTGAAACCTAATTCAGAGAAGCGCCAGATTTTCTTCTACGAATGATGAGAAAGACAGGGGTTTTGAAATTGCAGAAAGGTTTCGGAGCCATCATCAAATACATCTATAGCCAGACCAGCTAATACTACTGATTTCTACTTCTAGTTGAATAGTTTAGTTTATTGCATGGCAAGTCCTAAACAATAACGACAGGAACTGGGTACATCATGAGAAGAAGCACAAAGAAGATTTTGGTGCCATCATCAAGATACGTCAAGATCATTTCCTCGTGTCAAGAATCATAAAATTGGCGCAGTCGGTAGGATTCTCTTCTGGAGGGAACCAAGGAACCATTAGAATAAATTCCTCTCAGATAATTCAAGACCTTAACGTTTCCAGACGAAGACGAATCAGTTTATGACTTCTTCCGCAGATTAAAAAAATTAAGTAGTCAAGTACTAGCGTACCTAAAATTGATTTTTTAAAAAAATATGGTATCCCTTATTAATCAAAACAAATTTTGCAGATATTGTAATGGACATTTATTAGGGATAGAAAGAATCTTGCCAGGAAGTGCAAAGTACACCTTAAACTCTTCAAGACACCTTCAAATTTGAAGATTAGAGCGATAGGTGGTGGAACCACTCCGAAGCATCAGACTGCGAGTGTCTATCGAAAAGGGAAGGTTGTATATTCCTCGGACACGGGGAACTCCGCACTTTCATCGGGAAAAATCATTCTTTTATCCGATAACCCTTACAAATTCTTATTTCCTGAGGAGGAGGAAGAAAGAAAAGTTTTAATACTTGGACGATTTTCAGGTTTATGTTGACCGACACCTCATTTGGAATACCTATGCGAAAATAAATCACGTGATTCTCACGGGAATACAACAGAGATGCTAGCTGCACCGGAAGAATGAAGAAGATTCAAACTACAGCCGGATCTTAAGAAATTTGGCATCCTCTCATCGACAGCCAATGTCTTTACTTTTTTTCTCCATACTACCCATATTACCAATGTTACCAACAGTGTTTGTTTTTTTAAAATTACAAATTTTACCTAACAATATGAAAAAATTTCACTACAACCATTAAAAAAAAAAATTCTCATTGTTTCAGGTTAATTTTATACGTGGAAAAAATATATTAAATGATTGTCGAATGTAAACTCTTATCACTTCCAAACCAAAAGAAGATACTGAATATGATGACGTCATCATCGATAAAGGAGAGGCAGAGAACAAAGAAAGAAAGAAAAAACAAAATTTTGCGGTGACAATAATACGCAAATGAGATTAACAAATTTTTCTTTTTTCGGATCTTAAGAAGAAGATGTCGTCACGCATGTGATATTTGGTACGAAAGGTTTTTCATATAAAAAATCATTCATTCATTTTTCATTCATTTCCGCAAGGATTCCAATCCTACAAGTTTCGCAAATACTAATAATAATGATGACTGATTAGGTTTTTAAAAACTTACCCCGCGTTATGGAATTCTATTAATTTTTTGTCTTTTTACCGCCGTAAGAAAGAGAGAGAGAGAGAGAGAGAGAGAGAGAGAGAGAGAGAGAGAGAGAGATAGAAAATTTACATGGGTCGAGTGTAAACGTGTCCTTTGATTTGTGACGCCGAATAAGCATCGTTCCATCTTCCCGTGGATCTCGGAGATTCATTTCCGCCGCTCGTTGCATTTTCTTCGTTAACATTTCTTTCCGTGTCGTCATTGTTTGATTTGCTCACGTTGTTGCCTTTCAATGGAGCACCCGTATAATTCTGCCATTTTTTTTTCCTTTTCGAATTGAGCCAAAGTCTCACAAAATACGATCTGAAATTTTCCGAAAGGACTCCGTACAGCAATGGATTGACTATCGTGTTGAGCAATGCTATGAGCAAAGACCATATAAAATGATGAGATCTTAAAAAGAAATTTGTGTCTTCGTTAGGACGACTACCGTCGACGTAAATGAGAAACATTATTATCGTGATAGGAAGCCACATTATAAGAACAGCTACAACGTTCAACAACAATATCCTAACGACTCGAACGTGTTTCGCGAGACGAAGTTCTTCGTGTTGCGACAGAGATCCCGCTCTCATTTTCAAACCTGTATTGAAAACTGTTTGACTACTCGTGGATGCTTTACGAGACAACGGACTAGTGAATGCTCCTCCGATTATGCTTAACGCGCTTTGCCTCCTAGAATTCGGTGGAGGATTCGGATTGAGATCTGATATGCTCGATATCATCGTGACTTGAGTATTATTAGACCAACGATTTTTAGTCTTTGTTAATTTTTTAAATATTCTTTGGTAGTAAAAAACCAATAAGCTCATTGGTAACAAACACGTGAACAACACAACGGGAATCGTGAAAAGCAACGAAAAATTTATCGCGTTCGAACTTGGAAAAACTAGAGTGCATATAAGCGTCTTTTGATCAATTTTTTCTTGTCTGAACCAAAATGCGACGGGTAAAAAAAGTATGGCTGCCAATAGCCACGTTCCGAATGTGAGTGCACCGGCAAGTTTCGATGTTAATTTTGATCTGTACGGTGGTACGACAATACATCGATGCCTGTCGATGCTTATGAGTGTAAGAGTCCACAAAAGGACGAAACCGCAGACAAACTGAAACGGAAAAAATAAACATGATTGATTCACAATTAAGAACAAACAATTGTCTTGTAAACATGATCATTTTTTTATTTCGTAAGACAAACATATGAATGATATTTTTTCGTACCTGAAATTTTTTATCGCACCGTTCAAAACACGTGTTTTATCGCGTGAGTCAGTCAGTCAGTGAGTGAGTGAGTCTTCACGTGGTCAAACCTGAATGACTCACTCAATTACCTGTAAAAGGGTCACTTTTATCGGACAAGTTGTGAGGTTGTACAGGTTCATTAAGCGACGAGATAAAAATTTTTTTAATTTTTTCTATTACGTTCGTGACTAACGTTTTCGTTTGTTACGCATTCGTTTTTGTATGTTTCGCATAAAACGTTTTTGAATGTTTTTTTGTCGTACGGATAAGATAATAATAATCATTTAAGTTTGAGATTAAATTAATTAGGTTAAGTTTAATTAAAATGAGGACGGAGATTTTTACTAGAACGGAACGAACGGGGACAAAATTTTTTTTTTCGTACTTACTTGAGAATAAGGCAAAATTCTACAAGTCACATCACCCAATATCCAATTTTGAGTGATTCTTGTCACGGCAACGAACGGAATCCCCATCGCGAACACCAAATCCGCGGCTGTTAAATTCAATAGAAAACAATTTGTTATCGTACGCATTTCTCTGTAACGTAAAACCGCGCATGCTATGGACACGTTTAGCACGACTGATAAGACAAAAGTCAATGATAAGGCGGTAACTTCTGCTTCCGACGCTCCTCTCCTTTGTCCGAATTCGCTGTAAAAGGTATAAAAATACCTGGGTCCCCAACCGCTTATCAAATCATTACCAAAAACGTATGAAGAATTCCAACCGGACATTATGTATTATCTCGTCCTTTGGGGTGCGTTCATGTATGTATTATTTTATTATTATTATTATTATTGACGACGACAACTCGTTCCTTGACGTTGAAAGTCTTTACGAGAAAATTTGAAATCATTTGTTACATGGACCCGACCGATGATGGATGGACACAATTAATTTTAAACTATTAAAAACTCCGACATATTTCATCTTATTGAACAAAAAATACTTCATTGCAACCTGAAACAAACAAACAAACAAACATAAAATTAATAACGATTTTTTTTTTTAAACCTGTACAAACAATCGGATCGGTTTTGTAACGAATCAAACAAACGTTTTTTTTTTTTTTTGGTTTGTTTGAAAACAATCAAGGATTACAATTTTTATCCGAATCTTTAATTTCTCATCTCACGGCCTAAAATTTTTAAAAATGGCGGACGATAATAACAACAAAAAACTGTTGCGATAATTTAAATAAGAAAAATTATAATTATTAAATCGATTCAAAATGGCGTTCGAAACGAGCAAATCATATCACGATTTGCAATTGCATTAAATAAATTTATGCATGTATTTCGTGTTGCAGTGAAAATAATAATAATAATAATAATAATTACTAATGGAGAAAAAGAAAAAATGTCTGGAAAAACCAAAACGCACGTGAGGTCGACGTTTTCGTAACGACGACAAAAAACAAAACGACACCAAATATGGGGGGAAAAAAAAAATAAATAAATTAAATAAAAAATACTCAACGACCTTATACGCGCCTAAACAAACAACCGACAAACGGCCGGCCGGCCGGCCCGAACGGTCGGTCGGCCGGTCGTTTGTTACGCGTTATTTAACCTAACAAACGGAGTTTAATAATTAAAAAACAAACGCTGGAGAAAAAAAATCAAACGTGCGAAACTTAAAAAAAAAAAATCCCATCACGATTTTTCTTCTGCTACACTATTATTATTATTATTATTATTATTATTATTATTATTATTATTATTATTATTATTTTAATTGGTACATGACCCTAAATAGAAGTCGGATAAATTGTTTTTCTTTTTTTTCCACTATTGTTTGAATTATTGTTCGATCGATCAGTAAATTTTTTCAGGAGGAGGAAGGGGAAAGAGAGGAAGACCTCCTCTCCTCCCCCCGCGAGCTTTGTTTTTATTCACAACAAACGATATTGTTTTCCGGTTAGAAGAAAAAAAAATTTCCCGTGCGAATAAATTTAGAATAATTTAAACGAATCAAAAAACGCGTTTTTGTTATTTAAACAAACAAAATAAAATTATTAAAATTATCATTATTATTATTATCATTATTATTATTATCATTATTATTATTATCGCCGTGACAGTTCGTGCGAATTTTTCACGCCGCGTTTTTCACTTTTTTTTTTTTTTTAAAAAAAGACGAGTACGTAAAAAAATTTACGCGGGACCTCACGTAAAACAACCAAATTAAAAAAAAAAAAAATGCAACAATCAGTAAAATAAAACAAACGCGCAATAAACAATTTATAAAATTTCCGTAATATAATAAAACGACGAGCAAACAACAACAATAATAATAATAATAATAATTTTTTTTACGATAAAAGCATTGCGTCAAAATTAATAAAAATAATAATAATAATAGTTTTTTGGTTTGTCAAAATAGGAAATTATCAAGCGGACATCATTGCGGTTCCCACAGACAGAACAAACAATAAACTGCCCTTTAATGTACAAGGTCATGGGGTCAACAGGAAGTACCGAATCGTAAAAAAAGCACAAAAAAAATTTTATTTTTTTTCTCGAATGGGTGAATGATGGTGGTGATGATGATATGACGTGAAACGTTTGTAGTTGTTGGAAAAAAATACGAGAAAGTTTTAGTTTTTTAAATGACGACAAACAAACGAAAAACAACAACAACAACCACACGAAAACTTCGACTGGAAAATTTTTCCAAAAAAAAAAAAAACGAAAACGAACAAAAAATTTTTACTCACGAATAAATAAATAAATAATATTAATAACGATTACTCAACACGACAAATCATTTCGTAATAACAAACAAACGAACAAACAACAAACGTATTAAATCAATAAATTATTGAATGTAATACTTCGAGGGGGGAAAAAAAAAATTACGAAATCTAAAGGTACGATAAAATCATCACCGCCACCACCGCCTTTTTTAAAACCACCTCGCGTAATTTTTGTTTGTTTGTTTGTTTACAACAAACAAACAAAGTTAATAAAACTTTTCCGATAAATCAACTTACCGTAAAAACTTTCGTCACGATCGGAAAAATTAAAAAAATTAAAAACCAATCCTCGACTTTAAATTTACGACGACAACAACAACAATCACAAAAAAAATTTTTTTTTTTTTCGAAACAAACGACAAACTACAAACGAAACCTGTACGTACTCGTTATTCAATATATATATTTATCATAATATAAAACAAGTTGGAAAAAAAAAAATTAACTCGAAGCTAACGCGATGACTGTTCTTGGTCGACTGTTCTTCAACTTAGTCATGTTCTAACCGTTATACATTTTTTTTTTTTTCCTATTCAAATTATTTGTCCGCCATTTTGTTTTTTTATGTCACGCATAATTTTAATTTAAACAAATACGTACGTACGTCGTATTCTATGTTGAAAGCATGCACGTATGCTTGCATTTGATACACGCACACGTTTTCCCTTCCCTCCCCCTTCCCCCCCACATTTCTTTCTATTATTTTCATTACGTTATTATTATTATTATTATTATTGTTTTTAATTTCTAATAATAATAATAATAATTACGAACGACGATAAAATTTTTATTTTTATTTTTATTTTTTTTTTATAGAGTTAAATAATTTTTATATAGAGAGAGAAAACAAAAATTACGTAATTTTTATTTGTTCATCTCCCCCTTCTCGTTATTATTATTATTATTATCATTAACATTATTTATTATTATTATTATTATTATTATTAATTTAAACGCCGCACGTACGCACGCACGTCGTTACGTATTTTATTTTTTTTTTATTTTTATTTATTTTCCGATCGATAAAAAATTAATTTTAAAAAAAATTTAAAGACGCGACATTATTATTATTATATAAGAAACGAGTGCGTGAGTGCGTGAGTAAGTGCGTAAGTGCGTGAGTGCGTGTGTGCGTATTTTATTAAAGCAACAACCCGAGTGGGTGCATAAAAAAAAAAAAAAATTTGAGATGATGATGACGATGATGAAAAATAATCGACCTTGAATAATAATACCACGTGTTATTAATTACGTGTTAATTTATTTATATATTATCGAACCGTAAAAAATTATTTTATTGATTACATCATCGATCGATTTATTGATTTTTCTCAAACTCAAGCGATTATTGATTTTTTCGTCTGGAGAATCCAAAAAAAAAAAAAAATTTTTTTGAATAAATTAAATAAACGACATGAAAGGAACCCGATTGAAATATTTAAACAATTCGAAAATCGTTCAATTCAACAATTGTTTGTTTGTATCGACTTTGTTTGCAACAAAAACAAAACCGATAATAATAATGATGATGATGATGATAATAATAATAATTATTCATCGATTTTATTTTTTTCGAACGGTTAAAGTCATTTATTGAAAAAAAAAAAAATTTTTAACCGTAAATGTTTATGACTCACCATATTAAAGTCGACAACGAAAAGCAAAGAAAAAAAATGACAACAAACAACAACGACAAACAACTACGACAAACAACAACAACGACAAACGTTTATAAAACGAAAGAAGAAGAATAAAAAATATTTCGTCATTCATTAACAGAAAAAAAAAAAAGAAAAGTTTGTCGATGATCGTGTTAAAAAAAAATTTACTTGGAAATTGTAAGGCAAAAAAAATACTAATAATAATAATTATTATTATTAGTATTATTATCATCATCATCGTAGGGAAATAATAATGGATGACATGTGCGAAAAAACGCCTTCGTAAACGATAATTACGCAGCGTTTTTTTTTTTTTTTATAATCGTCGAAAAAAAAAAAATTATTTCATTTTTTAATGTGACAAATTAATAAAGACTCGTTAAAAATTATTTAAAAAAAAAAAAAAAGAAACATCTGAACAATTAACTGAACAATTATCTGAACAAAGTACGAATAATAATAATAATAATAATGTCGTCGTCGACTACGCGGGTCGGAAAATCATTTTCCAATTTTCTTTGCCCAAAAAAAAAAAAAATCGATAAATCGATATACTCTCTCTGTAATTATTTTTTTTTTTTAATGTTTAACGATCCGTGTAAATAATTCGTGAACAAAAAGAATGATTGATTGATTGATTGATTTCATGAAATTAAAAAAATTCTCTATTCTTTGAATGATTGGTTTTGGTGATGATTATGATTTTTTTATGATAATCTAATAGTAATCAATGAATGACACAGTTCGAATGTCAAAATCAATTTAAATATTTCTATTATAACGCCTATTTTCTCTCTCGAATGTTCGAGAAACTAACGTAAATTTCCCCCCCCAACTCCTTCTTTTCTCAATCATTTTATCCAGAATGTTTTTTTAAAAAAAAAAAAAAATTTATGACGAACAGATGAAAGCATTCATTTGGGTTTGTGTGAAATGACGTCATCACCATCTTCATCATTATTATCATTATTATTATTATTATTATTAAAAGATTCGATCGTGCATTTGTCAAAGGTTCGCATTTTTTTTCTCTCTCTCTTCTTCTTCTTCTTCACTTTATTAACATTCATTAATTCATTCATTCATTCATTCATTCGTTCGTTCGTTCATTCATTCATTTAATTTCGATCGTTTTACGACATTAACGAAAAAAAAAATTTTCTAACGTAATAATAATAATAATAATGATAATAAAATCGTTGGAAATTTATCCCGTAAGAAAAAGGGAAGGAAACAAATCGAAATTCGAAAAAACCGGAAGTTTAACGCCTTGGCACATTAAAAGAAAGCCAAAGAAGGTTGCACGCGAACTCCTACCCTTGAATCCTCCCCGTAAAATCTCATCAAAGAAAAAAAAAGAAAATCACCTGAACAAAATTGCTGATGCTAGTTAATCTTTCTCGAAAATTTCACATGAGTCGTAAAATAATAATAATATTAATAATAATGATGATGATGATAATAATAATAATTTTTTTCTACGTCGTTTAAAACAAACGAACCATTCGAACGTTTGTTTAATTACCTCGAGTTTTTTTTTTTTTTTTAATTTTTTTAAATTGGTCTTTGATCCCAATTGAAATAATGATAATGATAATAATAATGATAATGATAATAACCACGTGGATAATTAAAACTTTTTTTTTAAACTTGCGACTACACACGCACTGACACACACAATAATAATAATAATTTTTACAAAAAAAAATCAATAGAAAAAAATTAAATAGTCGGGTGATATCGCACGTTCGTACGTTTACCCCCTTCCCTCCCTCCCTTTCTCCCCCCTACCGTTCACGAAGGGATTAATTTCCGGTTTTTCCCCCACCCCACCCTCGTCAACGAACTGTAACAATTTAAATAATAATAATAATAGTTTTTTAAACCCCGTTAAAACAATCGATATTATTTCGAAAATTTCTCACCCTTACGCACTCGTTCGTGCGTTTGTATTATTATTATTATCATCACTAACCGTTTTTTTTTCCTTTCATTCATTCCCATTCCATTCATCCCTCATCCCTCATCCACCACCACCACCATCATCATCATCATCATCGACGTCATTTCATTAAAACGATTTCGTAATAAAAAATTTTTAATGAAAAATTATATTCGCACGCACGGAAAAGTTTTCTAAATGGAAACAACGGAGTCGTTGCGAACGGAGCACGATCATAATAATAATAATGATGATAATAATAATAATAATAATAATAATAATAATAATAATAATAATAATAATAATAATAATAAAATCCCTTTTTTAATCCATCAAAAAGAGTGAAATTACAAAATTTACATATATGAAATTATTACTTAGTATCGATTTTCGATATGAATGAATTCGAAAATGATCGGAGGAAGGGGGAAAAAACAAAAATGGCGTTTTTACGTACAAAAATAATAATAATAATAATAAAAGTTTACCTTTTGTTTTTTTGTTGTTGTTTTATGTTGGGATCTCATTACTTTATTGTTTTTTTTTTTATTATTGCTTCGATAAAAAAAATTCCCTTATTTCGTTTTTTTTTTTTTTTTTTCCTAAGAAAAATTCTCCCGCTATTTTGTATAAAATATTATTATTATTATTGCTATTATTATTATTATTATTTTAGGTTTTAAATTTAAAACCGTCGTCGAATGCGAATAATAATTTAATATTTCAAAAAAAAAGAAAAAGAATTTATGCGTAACAACAACGTTCGACTCATTGTATACGATTAAGAAAAAACAAACAAACAAATAAACAAACACAAGAACAAACAAATATTATGACGATGATAATGATGATGATAATAAGGGAGAACTGTCTCCACAGTTTTTCAAAGAATTTATTTCTATTATAAATGAAGGGTTGATGATGTGATTTGGATTGAATTCTGGAAAATTATTACGGAATCGAGGAGTGTACACACACGAAACTTGTCGTCATGAAAAATAATAATAATGATAATGCCGATGATGATGATGACGATGATTAAGGTAATTGGAAAATGAAAATTTTTTTTTTTTAAATTCTTCCGAAATAATTTTCGCGTGTCAAATGTAATAATCGAAATTTATTTTCTGTACAAACAACGAATTCGGTAAAATATTAATAATAATCATGTTAATAATTAACAGATCTGTGCCAGCTAACAAACTGGATATCATCCTGAGACATAATGCGGATAAATGGTGCAAACTGATTGAAGTATCCGTGCCGGCAGAAGAAGCAGACAAAAGGCTGAAATATAGAAATTTGGAAATTGAAATAACCAGGATGTGGGGAAGAAAAACTGAAACGATTCCGGTCATCGTGGGAGCATTGGGAGCCATGTCACATTCAATAAAAGGAAATTTAAAGAAGATTTTAAAGAACCTAAAAGACGGAAAAACCATCCAGGAAATCGCAAGAATGTGGAACGGCCCACATTTTTCGGAAAATATTATAAATAGCACCACCGAAATTCGAGTATTTGTCCCTAAGGAATCGGGTAGAAACCTGGGATAAATGCTTAAAAACCCCGACAAATAAGAGCCTTGTCGTGTTTAAGAGTGACCATAATAATAATAATAATAATAATAATAATTTTTATTTCGTATTTAAAATTTTTTAATGGGTTATCGACCCATTAAAAAATATTTTGTTTGTCGTCGGCCATTTGTTTTTTTTTTTTTTCTTAAATAAGTTTTTGCGGTTGTTTTCAGTCACAACTTTAAAGAACAAAAACTTTTTTTTTGTTAAAACAAACGACAAACAGTTAACAACTTGATGTATATAAATAGGAAAAAAAATTCATTTATCTATTAATCTCCGATAATTTTATATTAATTAATTATAAATTATTAGAGAAAAAAAGAAATTAATTTTGATATGGCACGAGAAAACTCACTAACAAAACACTAACTCACGGATTTTAATTAATTAATTAATAATTGTTTATACATCATTTCCATGGATTATTTTTTTATCATCATCATCATCGATTTTATTTATCTGACATTTTTTTTTGTTTGTTTGTTTCTGGAAAAAATGAACGGATTTAACTGGATAATTAATTTCTTTTTTTTTTTTTTAGGAAACGATGGCGAAGGCTCATGGAGAAAAAACAAAAAAGGTGAATCAATCGTTTGATGATAAAGAGAAAGGGAAAGAGTGGGGGCCGGCGGGACACGACGGGGGATGTTTGTGCGTGACATCATAGTGACCTAGCCTTTTTTCCCAATCTGAACAATTCGAAATTCGAATCGTGGGATCTACCTGTAAAGAAAATTAAAAAAATTTTTTTTAAAAATCGAATTGAAATTTTTTCATGCGAAAAAAATGTTTTTTTTTTTTTAGATAATGTTGGCAATCCATCAGTTTCCCCCCCCCTCTCTCCTTTCTTCCTTTTTAAAATCTGTAAAAAAATGAGGTAAAATTAATAGCTTAAATAATAATAATAATTGATTTTTGTGTGTAAGAAATTTTGAAAAAACTCAACGGACTCCATTTAATAATTGTGTGCTTTTCTTGTTTATAGGTAGTTGAGGTTAGGGCAACCTTTGGGCAACATCTCGTGTTCCTCGACCCGACTTTCCGCTTCGCAGACCTTGAAGACGGCCCTGCGTGCGAAATAGGAAAAGTCCAGAGTTCGACGGCGTCTGTTCAAAATTTCAAGTCAAGGAAAAGATGTCGCCTGGAGGAAGAGGAACAAACAGTTTTTACAAAGTGGAAAGCTTCGTCGTAGGAAAGAGGAAGGAGAAGACGATTACGACGATCTGTATCTCTATCTTTTGTTTTGCCATTTCCCCCCCCAGCAAAGGACCGGAGGCACTCCCGAAAGGGACTGCCGAACGTCCTGGGAGATGCGTTCTCATCTTCGAGGCGATGACGGAACGAAGATTAGGGCGAATTTCCCTCAAAGTTAATCGTGTAGAACGTTCTGGCTCTACAGGAGAGGGTAGACTGAAATGTTGGTTCTACTCTCACAAAAGTCTCCTCCCTCCTCATACAGAGCCACGCTCTTGCGACATGCCCAGGAGTTTTAGTCCCCTACGGAGGGGTTAGTGCGAAACTGCATTTCTCTTGGGTAAAAAAAAAAAAAACTCCTGTCGTACTAAATAAAATAATATATGTAGTTTATTAATAAAAAAACTTGTAATAAATTAATTTCTGTAAAATTGTATTTTGCTAATAAAAGTATTAAAAATACTCGATTGTTTGTATCTTATTTTACATCTCCATTTTCTTACCTTTTATCCCTGATATATATTTAAAGAAAATTTTGCCATTTTTTTAGTTAAAAATAAAAAAAAATTATAAATAAATCCACTGTTCCATTTTATTTTTTATTAAAAAACCTCCTTGGATCTTATGTTTTACGGATAAATCGGAAAAAAATTCGTCGATTAAAAATTAAGTTAAAAATGACCGCGAAAATCCAACGTTTACGATTTATTCAAAAGTAGGTCGACCTTGAATACAAGGCCATTGGTTTTACATTTCAATTTTGTGAAATTTTTCATGGTCACGATTTTTCAACCAAGGTCGACCTTGAATACAAGGCCACCAGTTTTAAAATTTTATTTTGTTAAAATTTTTCATGGTCACGTTTTTGCATTCAAGGTCGACCTTGTATATTTTACCTGACACACATTTTATTTTAAGCGGGAATCCATTGTTTGAATTTTATTTTTTTCTATACCTCCTTGGGTATTATGTTTTACTGATACATCAGAGCAAATTTTTCGATTTTTTTAGCGAAAAATGACCTTTGTAGGCGGGAAAAAATAAATAAAATACAAGAGATCGTTTTTTGGCAAAAAATTTATTTTTTATTTTTTTATTTTTTGTTGGGGAGGCGAGATAGACGGGATAAGCGGAATAGGAGGGAAGGGAATTAAACGGTGATTTACAAATTTGAATTTTTCAAAAGACAAAAGTTCCACCAATACATTTTTTTCCTTATAAATAATTTAAAGAATTTTTTTTGCGAATAAGTTCGATAAAATTTTTAGCACTCACGACAATTACCCGTTTGTTATATATGTCACGTGACCGATCGGAATCGGTATGCGTGCTCACGAAAAATATTTTTTTCTTTTAATCAAAAAAAAAAAACGACAAAAGTAATTATTCTGCCATTTTGATATTAAAAAATCGTTCACGATTCGTTTTTTTTTTTTTTTCGAGCACGTTATTCGCGACGCGTACACGCACTCACAAACCACGCACATTATTATCTTTACAAAAATTTACCCGTGATAAAATGGTTTGGTTCACACGCCATATTACGCAGATTCAAAACTCAACGTGAATAATCTTTTACCCCAATATTTCAAATCGTTGTATTTATCTTCTGCTAATTTTTTAAAATCGAAAGTTTTCGATAAATCCGAATCCGTGTATTCTTCTTTATCCGGTATCGATTCGAATATTTCTCCCAATACTTGCAAACAATTTTCTTCTTTTGTTTTATTACGTTGAATTTGTGATTGTACTGGACTCGCCCATAACAATCTCATTCTTTCCCTTTGCGTTTCTTCCATGATCCCTTTCATCGCAGCCTCCATTATTATCTCTTTCATAAATTTATTTAGCATTTTCCTTCTCGTTAATTTATAACCCGATAATTCGGATTTACCAGTTGAATTCATCATTCTTTTACCATCTTCATAACAGTAGGATGGCATTTTACGAGACGTTTGAAAAGGTGGTCTTTGTATGGGTTGTGGAGCCAAATATTTTTCTGGTATTTTCTTCAGAGACGTTCGACTTTTCGATGTATCGTTCGTTAAATACGAGAGTATATCGTCGGAACGTTTGAAACTTAATTTCGACGAACGCGCGTTTAAAACCGATGTCGGTGGTTTCACGTGATCATCCGTGTATTTTATCGAACTTTTCGATTTCATTTTATTTATGAATGATTTCACAACTGGAACTTCAACGTCTTTATTCACGATGGTCACGTCCGCCTCCGCGGGTTTAGCTAAAAGTCTCGATAATTTATGTTCTCTATATCTTTTTAAATTCCTCTTTAATTTTACAGGATCCGGTATAGTTTTCAAATAATTTTCCAACGCAATCGACGACCATCTTCTTTTTTTCTTATATGGCGAATAACTCGGTAATATGTCGTTATCAGCATAATATTGTTGCAAGGCTTCGTACGTGATTCTTTTATTCCTGTACATTTCGTGGTGTCTGAGTATGTTGTTTATAAAATCGTAATTGTAATTAAACCAATTCTCGTATAAATCCGGACGAAAACCCGTTGGAACTTTGAAACCTTTCCGACAATATTTTCTTATCCAAATGCTCTCCTTGCATAAAGGAACTCTGCAAAAAAAAAAGTAAATAAAAATTAACTCCTTACAAATTTAAAGTTATGCAAAATGCAATACACTCGCGTACTAATACAAGCCGTATATAAATAAATTAGGCGGTAATTTTGGTTTTTTTTTGTTTGCAATCGTGTTTGTTCGTTTGTTTGTTTGTTTGAACGTGTTGTTACCTTAACATTTCTCCGTTTGGACTGTTCAATGCAAGAGTTTTAACATCGTAAAATCCATCGTTTGTATCGTAACCACCCGGAGGAATTTTTCTCGGTGGATCTAATTCCGTTTTCTGTGCTATTTTACCAGGTTTTAAACCTTTTCTCACTTCGCTCCAAAACCTTAAAAAAAAAAAAACATAATCGCATTAATAATAATAATGATAAGATAAATATTAAAATTTAAGGACCCATATTACTATTGTTCTAAAACTTTAAAAATTATTTGTGTTGTTACCCTATGCGTCCTTACCGCTATGATTTTTCGTACAAACAACCTATCCGTATAATTAACATTTATTTATTTATTTTTCATAAGTTTGGGCCATTTTTTTTTTTTTTTTTTTTTTTCAATTAATCGATCCGTGACTAATTATTAATAATTTATCATTATTATCATATACATTTTCATCAAACGTTAAATATTAATATTTATAAACGACTTAAGACTTAATTTTTCTCTTTTTTTTTTTAAATTATTTTGGCGCGAAAAAAGATGATATTTAAAGGTACGAAGTAATAGAAAAAAAATTTTTTTTTTTTTCTACGTGAAGTAATCGTTGAAAAAAAAAAATTTTATATAATAATAATAATAATTAAAGTAAGTAAGAAAAAAAATTGCAATGAAATAAATTTCGCAAAAATAGTGAAATAATAATAATAATAAAAAACGTGTGCAATCAATTTAATACAAAAAAAAAGAAATCAAAAAAATTTTTTTTTAATTTTGCATCAAATTTAAATAACTAAAAAAAAAAAAAAAAAAAAAAAAAAATTAAAACGTAAAAATGATAATAATAATAATAATAATAATAATAATAATAATAAGTAAATAAATAAGTAAATTTCGCAAGTTTTTTTTTTTTTTTTATTTACGAAAAAAAAATCATTAAAAGATTATTGAAATTTCAAAAAGGCCGATTGAGAATAAAAAGATGGAAAAAATTATATAAAATTTGTGCGTGCACGTGCACGTGCGCGTGTGTGTGTGCGTGCGTGTGCGTGTGTGACAAATAACGAAAATTATGAATCGTGATTCATTAGAAGTTTTGACAATAATTATCCATGTTAATTCGATTCCGAGGGAGAAGGGAGAGAGAGAGGGGGGAAAAGGCTGACCGTGAAAAATTATTATTTAAATAAAATGACATTTCAGTTTTTTTTTTTAAATAAATTTTTCTAAAAAAAGAAAGTTTCAAAAGAAAAACAAAATGGCCAAGGTCTAACGATGATAATTTCCTTTAAATGATATGTAAAAGTAGGGAATGAGAAAGAAAATTATGACAGAAGTAGAAAAATGGGTATATTATATTTTTCAAACGAAAAAAATAAAAGGTTTACCCCTCTTTCTCTTATAAATATTTTGACATTTTTACGAGTTTAAATTAATGACACGTTTAAAGTAGAATAACTTCCGGCGCACGAAAATCAAAATTTAAAAAAAAGACAAAAAACCAATTAAAAAACTAATATTATTATATGTAATAGCGAAAACAAAGAAAAAAAACAACAGGTAATTCTATCAAACATTCATTCATTCATTCATTCATTCATTTATTTATTCATTCACTCGTTAATCGTTTTCAAAACGATTCCACGCAAAAAAAAAAATTAAATTTTTATAAATACAACTTTCGATACAATTTTTTTTTCTCTTCATCATCCGGTCATTTTTATTGTTTGCCCACGACAAACCCTCTCCTCTACCTCTCATTTCTTCCCACCCACCTAGCAAGCAAACAAACAACAAACAACAAAAAAAAAGAAAAATAGCAAATGGGAGCGCTTACCATCAAATAGGTACGCATTGAGAAGAAAATTTTTTATTTTGCTGCAGTAAAAATCCAACAATCGACCGCAAAAACATTCTCGAATGCTTAACAACAACTACAAACAGGAATACAATTCACTACAAATCACAACAACCGACCGTTACAATTTAATCAAAAACCGGCAACAATCGGTATTCAAGAGGTATTAAATTTTTCTTCAAAATTTTCAACGGTTTAAAACATTCGCCATTTTGAAAAAAAAAATATTTAGGACGTCACGTGTTCATTTTTAGTAGCAAACTCAATAATTTTTTGAAACTTACCTCCTATCAGGTGCTTGACAATATCTCCAATTTTTTTTTTCGTGCCATAACATATCCGGAAATTGAAATTTACAATCTACGAGTACTCCATTGTTGTAAACGCAATTGAGTGCTTTAAACTTATTCGGATACGTTAAACTCGCGTTGTCGTCGTGAAATCTTCCATCTTTCATTTTTCCCGAATATGTCACGCCTGTATAAAAAAGAAAAAAAAATTCAATGAGAAACAACAACAAAAAACAAAAATTGTTGTTACGAACCTCTTTTACGAAATGAATAAATTCTTATGCGAATACCGTAAACATAATACAAACACTTGACTAAACATCCCTTAACACTTGTGCAATTACTCAACGGCTAAGGGATGATTAGCCTGATATTTGCCCCTTTTACCCCAACTCGAGATCGTGACGTCGGTTCGAAAACAACCATTCATGAGTTTTTTTAAGCACATGTGTGCACTTTTTTTCGTAATCGAATCGATGAGCAAGGGATGAATGGGATACCTGTACCGATTCCGTTTATTCTAACATACTAAAATCCCTCTCCCTCTCCCCTCCCTCCCTCCTTTCCCTCCCCCTCGGAGTACACAAAATTAACTGGGAAAACTAACAAAAATAATCACAATCACAGCGAGTTTTGTTTCTGGAAAAATTTTTTTTTCTATTTACTTATTGTTTTCTAGTATTAATATTATTACCATTATTATTATTATTATCAAAGGAAAAAAAACTAGCAAAATTAAATATTCGAGAAATTTCCATTGTGTTTCTTAACTTACAAACTTAACAAACAAAATTCATTACAAAAAAAAAAAAAAAATTGTTTGCATAATTCACATGTACATTAAAGCGAAAAATTTGTTTATTAAATAATTTAAACAAATTTATATAATAATAATAATAATAATAATAATAATAATGATAATAATGATAATAATAATAATAATAATAATAATAATAATAATAATAATAATAATAATAATAATAGTATAAGAATTACATTTTATATTATTTATATAAAATTATAAATATTCAGGCGCCCTACGTAAGATGATAAATATCAATCGTGAATGAAAAAAAAAAAAATCATAAAATTATAAATTAATATTATTATTTTTTTTTTTTTTTCACGTTCCACACGCGAAACATTGAACGTGAAACAAACAAGTTTTTTTTTTTAAAAATCCGTTTGTTTGTTTGTTTCATTCGTATCCATGCGAAATAAAAAAAAAAAAAAATTAAAAATGAAAAAAAACTTTTTTTTTTTTTTTGAAAACAAACTACTACTCTTTTTCCCTAACTTTTATTATGAATGAAATTTGTTATGAAAAAAGCAACAATGTTACCAACATAACAACAAACAACCAACGGTAAAAAAATCGATCGATAAATATCGATAAATGACGTAATCATTCGTAAGGGTTGTTGTTTTTTTTTACATCACCTGCTCATATCGATCGATCCGTTATGTGTAAAATCGCCAAAAAAAAAAAAAACTAAAATGATGACGTCATTTAAATAATATAAACAAATGAAAATTAATAATAATAATAATAATAATAATAATAATAATAATAATAATAATAATAATTACGTAAATTTTAATTTTTTTTTTTTTCGTAAATTCGTAACCCAAATTTTTTATAAAATGTGATTGACGACGACGATTGAAAATTAAAAAGTTTTCTTTTATTTATTTTACGTCACGACTACGATGATGATGATAATTATTAATATTATTATTACTATTATTATTATTATCGAGTTTTTTTTTATTGTTTTTCGCGCGGATACAAAATCGTTATTACTTATTATTTGTTGTTGTTGTTGTTGTTATCAAATTAAAAAATTTTCTATCGTAATTTATTTATTGTTTTGTTTTTTCCTTTTTTTTAATTTTCGTTAGTACCACTTCCGGTTTTTCATTTTTCTCTTCATTCATTCATTCATTCATTCATTCATTTATCATTCATTTTTAATAGATAAATAAATAAATAAATTTCACTTGTGAATTTTGTTTTTGTTTTTTGTAACTGTCATTAAACGTTCGAAAAAACCCATGATTGACCTTTAAGTTGACCTCTTATTTAAAACCCCCCCGCCCCCCCGGATAATTTTTAATTGAATTTTTTTCTGCAACGATTTGTTATCGACAAACAACAACCGACGTATTTAATAACATCGCAATATATAAATAAAAAGAGAGAGAGAGAAAAACAATTTTTTTTTTGACACTCGTTTTAAAATTAACCGGAAATAATTATTTCTATTTTTTGTCTATACGTAGTCGTAATTAAATTATTAAACGGTAATAATAAAAAAAAGGAGGTAAATTTTATTACCGGGTTGTCTTGCATTTTTCACAACAATCATGCCTTAAAACTTTTTTTTTTTTTTTTTTTTTTTTTTTTTTTTATAAATGAATGAAATAAAAAAATTTTTTTAACCGACATTCATATTTTCACCTGATGAAAAAACAAAAATTTTTTAATTATCGTTTCCGGTTTAAAATGATGAATGAAAATAAAAAATAATTTCCCCCCCCCCTCCATATGTTTTACGAGTTGGATTTGAAAAAAATGTGACGTCATTACAAAACGAACGTTTCGAGAGGGCAGTTTTTTTCCCGAGTTGAAAATCGAAAAGAAACGATAAATTTTTTTTTTTTACGGGAAATTATTGTGGTAACACTGTTTTTCACATTTACCGGAAGAACTCAATAGTTCCATAATGATAATAATAATAATAATTTTTTTTCCCATTTTATTAGTTTGCAATCGAAAAATATTTTACAAAGTTTCCATTTCAACCTACTCGCAATAAATACTTTCATTCCTTTTTAACCCCCCCCTCTCTCTCTCTCTCTCTTTCTCTTTTGTTCTCTACAACTATTTATCTCTCTCTCTCTTTTTATTATCTCTCTTTTTTTATTATTTGATTATATCCAATAAAATTTCAAATGCGTAAACGTAAAATTTTATTATTATAAAAAAAAAATTTGACGTACCTCTTATTGAATTATAACAGAAACAATTTAAAAATGGCGGGAAATTTAACGACAAGATAATAATAATAATAATAATTCAAAAAAAAAATTTTTCTAGAATAATTTCAGGGGCGTACATTCTTAATTTTGATTCGATTTTTTTTTTAATTTTTAATCATTTTTCCCTGTTCAGTAACCAAAAAAAAAATAATAATAATAAAATCTTTTTTATGCTACGTATGTATGTGCGTGCGTGAAAGAGAGGGAGAGAAAGAGAGAAAGAGAGAGAGGTTAAGGAGCTTATTTTTACGTACGTGATAATTACAACTACTTAAATTTTTTTTTTTTTTTTTTTTAATCTTCAAAAAAAAATAAATCAATGTGACATCAATTTTATCGACTTCCCCGTTTGATTAAAGTCCCTCCCCTCCCCGTTTGATTAAAGCCCCTTCCCTCCCCGTTTGATTGAAGCCCCTTCCCTCCCCGTATGATTAAAGTTTCCCCTTTCCTCCCCCCGCATTTTCAAAATTGAATTAATAATAAAATAATATAAAATTAAATCTCTCTCTCTCTCTCCTCTTTCTCTCCTTTTTCTCTTTTTCTCTCCTTTCTTTCTCTCTCTCTATCTCTCTCTTCCATCGAATGACATGGTTATTATTATTCGGATAGTGCGGAAGAAGTACGCAAAAGATTCCATCATTCCAAAAATAAATTTAAATAATAATAATAATAATCAATTTCATAATTAAAATGCAAATTTTTTTTTAAAAGTAGGTTTTATAATCCATTGCATAATTTTTGTTTTTTTTTTTTGCGTTAATTTTTTTATTAATAATAATAATAATAATAATAAATTGCAACGTTGTAAAAGCGGAAGATTAAAAAGTCCGTCGACCTTTCACATGTCAATATACATATATATATATGTGTGTGATACAAACAGGTGGCTGAACTTGACTTAAATCAAATCAATCGTGACAGTTTATCATTATTATTATTATTATCATTATCATTATTAATCACTCGATTTTTTTTTTCGTTGTTACGAAAACGTGATGTAGTTTAATACCGAACTCGAATGAATAAAAAAAAAAAAAAGTTTTTTGTTAAACAGAGACTTGTTAGCAGAATGTTATTAATAATAATAATTTTATTATAATCCGTTATTTATTTGTGTTATTTTAATTACGTAATAATAACAATAATAATAATAATAATTTTTTATTTGGCATATTTTTGTTAACACTAATTGCCATATTTTTCCGAACTTTTTTTAATTTTTTAAGGGGGGAAAAAAAAAAAAAAAAAAAAAAAAAAACTAATTTCATTTTGTGGCATTTGTGACCTTTCGACGGGGGAGGGGAGGGGAGGGGAGATAGGGGGCAACACTCATCACGCACGTACGTTTCTCAACATTTTAAATTATACTAAACCGGAATGACTACTACTACTACTACAAAATTCACAACAACAGCAAACGATTTAATAATAAATAAATTGGAAAAAAAATTATTATTATTATTAGTAAATAGAAAAAAAAAAAAAAATTTTTTTTTCAAAGCGTGATACTTACGAATAACGTTATGTACCGTTTTTTTTTTAAAATTACCCGAGTTAAAAATAACAGGTAAATAAAAGATAAAATGAAAAGAAAAAAGAAAAAAAAACCGGAAACGACGACAATTGTAATGACGCGACACATTACGTAAAACCAAATTAAATTCCCGTAAATAACCTTATAAAAATATTTTGGGTTTAAAATGAAAAAAAAAAAAAAAAAAAAACGCGCGTGTTTACACAAAAAAAAAAAAAAAAAAAAAAGAAAAAAAAAACTTACCGTGCGGCATAATATAGGTTCCGCTTCCGGACATTCCAATACAATCCCAACTTCCTGACCAAAGGCTATTTGTCGCCCATTTGTAAGATGATTTTGTTAAATGTATTGTACCCATTAATATTCTATTTTCGATTTTTGATAAATTTCTCGTTTGATGTATGTTATCACCGATTTGTATTGAAAATAAATATGATTGAGATATCGGATATATATCCCAATGAACGCTACCATCCGTATGTGTTTTTCTAATTCCTTGCTGCAAAACAAAAAAATCATCCCTTATGTACCCTTCGGGAAAAAAAAAAAATTGACGTCACTCACTTACCTTTTCCAACATTTCAACAATTGATGATTTATACGATCTCAATGTCTTTTTCTTATCCGAATCGTTGGGTATGCTAGCAAGTACTTTTTCAAATGAATTCAATAGCGATTGCAACATGTTATAATTGCTGTCGGCAACGGCTTTTAACAATGTCGAATCATCTTGCGAATGACCGGTCGTGCTTAAAAAAATCGAACCGAAAACGCTTTTCCTGGCTCTGTTAATGGCAGCAAAATTGGACGGACAACTGTGTACGAATATGCTTCTCTGTCTATCCCCTTGAGTATCGGATTCTTTTGGTATAACCGGCGTTGATTCTTCATAACTGCTCACGTTCGATTCCGTTTCTTCTTCTTCTTCTCCGTATTCTTCATCGAAATATTCTTCGAAATAATAACCTTCTTGTCCTTCTTCGAACCAAAGAGGACTTTCCCTGAAAATCATATGACAATAAAACAATTTATAAATGGCGGCGTTCATAAACTTTTCAAATAATAATAATAATAATAATAACTTACGACGTGGGATATATTCTATCTATGTAATCTTGATCTCCGTCCGTAAGAGAAGATTGAATTGATCCTTTATGCGAATTATTTACTGATTTACGATTATCATCTCCGTTGAAAAAATAATCGTCGTCGGGTGCATCGATATTTCCATCGTAGTTTTCCCAATGTTCATTTTCCCCGTAACCTAGGGTGTAATTATGAATAAAACTACCAAAACTCATAATGATTTATTTCGCGACAGCAAGAAAAACAAATTATTATTATTATTATTATTATTTATATTTTTTTTATATAAAAATAATAAAACTCCAAAAAAAATAAAAATAAAAATAAATAATTTGCCATTTAAAAAAAATATTTATTAAAAGGCTGTGTGTGTGTGTGTGTGTGTGCAATGGACCATTCCATTCATTCATCATCGATAGGTTTTTATTTATTTACTCTATGACATAAATTTTTTTTTATTTACGACGTGCGAAACTTTAAATTTTTTACGCAAGTTTTTTTTTTATTTTTTTATTTTTTTTTACGCATCAAGGCGATTCGGTAAAATAAAATTTGGAAAAAAAAAAAAAGGATTTCGTAAAAAATAAATAATTAATAATTTTACTATACATAAGGTCAAAAAATATATGCGTAATACATAAATAAATAAATAAATAAAACGCGTGCGTAAAAATCAAAGTGGGTCGTTTTATATTTATAAAAAAAAAAAAAATTAATTTCACGGAAACGACATAGGAATTATACACAGACGCCATTTTTCACAACAACAACAACAACAACATTAATTTCACACTTCGATTTGAGAGAAGACGACGAATAATAAAAAAAAAAAAAAAATTATCCATCGGTCAAGATTTTCCGTGACAAAACAATCGTAAAATGATGATGATGATAATGATAATAATAAATGAGTTAAAAATAAACTGATTTTACATACAAAAAAAAAAAAATTCATTCCACCATCATTTTACAACAATCTAACAATCGTGTACGTGTGTAGTAATAACGCAATATTGTCTCGAATACTTTGATTCGACTATCGAAGGTGTGTAAAATACCTTTTTTTTTTAAATTGATTGATTTTTATTAGATTTCGACCTTGTGACACCTGGGTCGTCTCGTATCTTAATACAAGTTTTGCCCGTGAGAATCCTGTGAAAATAACCCCGTAATTACAACTCTCTCTCTCTCTCTAATAT